GAGAGAATATCACTTTTATTCAATAAATAAATCACGGTATTTCACTGTTGAAAATGTAATAAAATGCATTATACATGTAATAGTTAAAGTGATTAAAATTTAATTTTAAAAGAAGTGTTTTCAAAGTAAAGAAATTAAAGAAATCAATGATAAGTGCCATATTAGAAAAAGCAAATACAAATAACTCAGTAGTAGGTACATGTGCGTCGTTTAACAGACTTCGTGGTGATTTTAGGTCGATGATAGCAAAACTGATGCAATTCTGACAACATTTACAATGGTAAGCTTGTAATAATAATATTTAAGAAAAAAAAAGAATGAAGCCAGGCGATATTGCACCTTTGAGTCACTTAATATCAATAATCTTGCTGATATATAAAAACATGTACCGTATAAGTAGAAACGCTAAATTTTTGTGAATTTGTCTATAAAATCCGATATATAATTTAAGGGAGAAGTACCAGTAATTTTAGCGATTTTATGATGCATGTCCAAAATAATAACTGGTATCTCCGAAGCTGAATTGTCAGCGATATTCAATTTAATTGTCCCCAGCACCCTAGCTAATGCATGTAATGCCAAAAAGTGTTTTTCTATATTATCACTGAGCAATGTAAATCATCCCTATGAATAAAGCCATAAATCTTCATAAATTTTCCGTTCAACATTTGAAATTTTTATTCATTTAGATATATTCAAACCAACATTGATAGCAGTTCACAGAATTATAAAAAAAATCGGCGATAAAAGCATTAAGTTAAAAAGGTTATAAAAATATTCGTTTGTAAGAAAATTAGATTTGAAAAATTAGATAATCTTAAATTTTGTCACTTTTACATTTTGTACATGGTACGTATATGTTACATATGTGAAAAAGCTTATGGGACTGGTGAAGTTGATTTTAATTCAAAATGATAAATGAAACCAATGTGTGCAAATTTATTAATTACATTGTATGTAAACAGAATAAAAGAATCATCACACGAAACAGATATCTAATCCTTTATTAATTAATTGTTTCATTTATTAATTTCGTTTTATTGATTTCAATCTTTAAAAACCCTTAAGCTTATTTTCGTCACTACTTAGTATTCCTACTTCTGTTAAAATTACAAACTGAGGATATGTTATTGTCTATTAATCATGAGAGAGAAGAAAAAAAAAGCAACCCCACCAATTTGACACTTATTGCAAGGAACACAAGACTAGTTCTGCTTGAGATTTTTAAAAAAAAAAAAAAATTCGTTCCCACGAATAAAATTCGTTCCCAAGAAATTAAATTCGTTCCCACGAAATAAAAATTCGTTCACACGAAATTAGATTCGTTCTCATGAAATTAAATTCGTTGCCACGAAATTTATCTTTTTGCTTATAATATAAGATGAATGTCATTATAACATTTTTAACTGAGGTTAAATAATACTTGTATTTTTAACCATTATCAGGGAGAGATGTATATTACCATCTTACTGTACATATCTAAGTTGTCATTAACTATTGCATTGAATAAGTCTATATATTACATCATTTATATATCTGAAGATTTTCATGCCGTGGCAAACAGAAACCGTACGTTGTGTCTCACAAAACAATTTTTGATATCTCTTCAAAATATGTTGATTGAGAATGACACTTTCTGCAACTGAGTGTGCTTACAGCACCCGAGTTTTTACTTTTATTCATGCAAACTAACTTTTCCCATCAGCTATAATTATAATTCAAGGTAGAATCTGTTATGGAGACTGCAGATTTCATTTCGTGGGAATGAATTTTTATTTTGTGGGAACGAAATTAATTTCGTGGGAACAACTTTTTATTTCAATGGAATGAATTTAATTCCGTGGGAACGAATTTTATTTCGTGGGAACGAATTAAAAAAAATATCTCAAGCATATATCCTATAGCAGCCACCGTAGCTTTCATATATTTCAATTTAAATATATTGTGGTAAAATTTGAAGATCGGTACAAATTTCACACAAGAGCAAAAGTGTCAGGTCTGTTTTATAAGAAAATTCTTTTATAAAAGCTATAAGAATTCCTAATTCAGATCTAAAAAGAAAAGTAATTTTAATTCGCAAGAGCATGCTCCACGTACGAACAATTTCTTAAACGAGGCAAGCTATTGACAAACAAGTTGATGAAACAATGATATCAACAGTCTCGTTAAAGTCATCATTTGGCAAGATCTATTGTCGATACAATGACAACAATGGCTTGTCAGCAAATATAATCTATGATTAAGTTGAATGCTGACTGACGTTTTTTCACACTAATTGTTATTTTAACGCTGAATGGTCTACAGATTTTTTCCGTTAGCCCGATCTTGACAATGAGCAAAGGCGGGTATGACCGGTCGAAAGAGAATGCTTACTCCTCCTTAGCACCTGATCCTAACACTGATGTTGTTTGCTCTGCTCCCGATTTGCATTGTTTCAATGGACTTTTGAACTTGATTACTATTCGTTATTTCATTCATATCAACACCTAAAATACATAAAAGAAATAACTTTTCTTCAAATTTATATAGATGAAGATAAAGCTTTTTCCAAATGTGCAACTGTTTATCATAGCATTCTATACAAAGTCAGGATTATTTTTGTGGAGAATGGTACATTTTTTAGATCTGATGTTGTTTTTGTAATTCTGATTAAAGTGTACAACCTGTAAATTGAACATTTATTTCTGATATGATATACTTCACATGATCAAGAGATTATGAAAGCTAAGCTTATAGAATCATACTTGAGGGAATTAAATGGGGAAAAAACGAAATTTGAAATACCTGATATCCCTATCATAGAGATAATTATTACAGGAGAAATGGGATTATTGTGAATGGACACATCAAACATACTGTTAGAATTTATGTTGTTTCAATTCTCGATCTCATTAGAAAGGAATATCATTCAAAGAAATATAATAACTGATATATTATTTTCTTCTCTGTATTTCGTTCAAATCATTCCTTTATGACTAAAGGAAAAATCGCAAAAAGATTTTATGATATCCATCAAACACATTTTCTGATCTATCTACATGAATCATTACTAAATTAATGAAGAATGAAGAATTTTCCCCCTATATTTGAAATCGATTTCATCATTAGAATATAAGACCCAGATGTTTTCGAGTATGAAGTTTTTATAAAAAGGTAATGAAAATATTTTCTAAGAATCTAATACAATTATCAAATGACAAGCTACAGCATGAATCCCCCCTCTCACCGAGACTACCTGTATTATGCCATCTGTAAGGATTTACCCAAGACACAGTCTGTATCTAAAGACAGTAAATATTAGTGTTTACGGGTGATTTTAACTCCAGAGTAGGTAATTTACCTGACTGGTTTAATGTTGGTGATTTTCAACTACAATTACACAAATGTAGGGACACTTTTAAGACAGCCCATTATATTTCGACAACTCTTAGATTCCTCTCTACAGGGTAGTAGAAGATGTCCATGTTAATAACTTTGGGTATAAAATGAGTGATTTTTGCCAAAAAAAAAAAAAAGATATTAATATTGTAAATGGTGATAAATATGCGGGAGGTTTAACTTGTAAAGGTAGTAGCTCAGCGGATTATGGAGTTGCCAGAGCATATATGTTCGAAATTATTCAAGATTTTGAAATCACTTACTTTCGTAAGAATGCTGAAAATATTCATAAACTTAACTTTGAATTTTAGCTTGGTTATGCCCTTGCACAAGTATTTGACTGTGCTAAAATCACGTGACAAGTCTAAATATAAAATCTAATCGTCCTAAATATGTACTTAATAATGACAATTACATTTGTCCGATATAAATAAAGTACTAAAAAGAATCGCCATCCTGATTAAGAATATATTTTTAAATTTAGTAAGTTGCCGATATTGCCATTGCGCACCTTAACTGTATTGCGAGGTGTGAAATTATTGTTGAAAATCAGTCACGTGTAAAACTATGGTTACCAGATCAAGCAAAAAATTTCCCAGAGAATGTTGATCTATCTGAGGTCAAGTACATACATTTAAAAAATTAGATATTTTGACCAGTAGTACGGGAACACGCAATATTAGTAAAAATACTATAAATGATGTTACTAATAAGCTATGTGGTACGATGGCCGATATGAGCCGTCAAATTACAAGTAAGAGTAACTCTATTATGTACGCAAAATTAATTGACTTTAGCAGTAATACCTGTATCATTTTGTACATGTACATCTTTGTCAATGACAAAACGCTTGTACTTGTAATATGAATTTGTACACGTACAAATCTTGAGACAAAATACATTTCAAACTACTTAACGTTCCTCAGATTTATTGGGGAGATTATATGTAAACTAAGACAGGGACTTAAACCAAACACGTGTGTCTGGTTTTCTTCTCTTTTCTTCTTTTCTCCCCCCTTTTTGTTGCTGTTAAATAAATGCTGTATTCCTAATTTTTAATAATCATAAAACGCATCGAGATTATTTTTACTTTCACATACGTCGTCCGAGACCTCAACATTCAAATTTTTCCATCAAAGAATATTTTGTTGGTGTCTTTATTCAGATTCCTCGTGTTTTGGTTTGATTTTAAATTCAAATTATTTAAACTTAATTTGATAATATGTAAATTATAAATAAATAAATTTTGTTTACCCAGTATTTAAATGTATAAGATATCCCAGCATCAAAGAGGTCAGGTTAAAATATTAGTCTTGAATGCTTATATCTAGAAAATTACAAGAGCATTCCAAATAACAGCTCAAGCCTTGTGAGAATTATGATTGTGGTCAGAAACTCCATCCTCATTTGATCTAAATTTTCGAAGCTAAGATCAATTTCACTTGTTTAATACTTTGCAGTTGCAACTGCGTAAGTAAGCAGCAATTAAAATCAATATTCTAAAATTACTTCACTTTAAAATATATGTCAGGTACTGAATATTTGACCTCTTTTTAAATCTTCACTCGGTCATCATCAGTGTTTAATACACGTACATCTTCCGGATTTCAGTTGAATGACACATGAGTGTACCAGTCAAAAGCCAGGAGAATGCCTTCCTCTATTATTGTTTATGTCCATCTCTGTATGATATAGACACATCTTTAATAGAGGTGAATATGACTGAAGTTCATTTGTCCAGCGGGTTCGAAAGATTTAATGATGGTGGGCCACTAATGTGGGTTAGAAAGTGGACAGAAGTTGACCAAAATTCCGTGGAAACGTCTAGGTAAATGCCTTCTAATGAAAATTGATAAATAAAATGATTAGGAACAATATGCAATCCGCAGTGCATAACATTCATCTGTTTAATGATAATTTATTTTAGCTAATATATATATATATATATATATATATATATATATATATATATATATATATATATATATATATATATATATATATATATATATATATATATATATATATATGTTGCATATCGAAAACTGTCCTTAGAATAGTTTTCAGTATGCAAGCAATAATACATTTAGGTACAGCAGGATATATATTCAGTGTAACCGGATACGTCACTCTATGGTATTTAGTAATCATTTTCAGATTTTGTGTTACTTAACCCATTTTTAATAAAGAATGATGGACTTTTTGGGTGGAAAAGAAATGATGATCAAGAAACGCAGTTTTTAAATGTTAAACATGTTAAGCAAATGTCTTGGTTATTCACGTATGAAAATACAACTATATCTCTCCTCAATAAAACGGAAAATTCATAATGTACTTTAAAATGTATTATGTTAGGAAACAAATTTTACCCTTACATAATTATATCATTTCTCTTTTTGACTTTGAAAAACAGAAGATCTTATCAGAAACACTTTATAAATTGTTTTCAAAAAAATGTCATACAGCATTTGTTTCTTTATAAATCCTGTAAAGTTCTTGCATGCATTTAAAATTTATTAAGTGGAAAAAAGTGATGTGACAATGAACGTAAATGAATATTATTTATATTCGCAGAGTGCATCTATGTTATTCATTTCAAAAATATTCATTCAATTAATATTTTTTTTTCAAAGTATATTTTAAAAACATAGGCTTTCCTATCCAAATCTATCTTAAACCAAATACATGTATAAGAAAAGGTTTAGAAAATATAAGCAACAGCATCCAATATCATTGCACAAAGATCTTAAACAAGATGAATTTGCATATTGTTTTTTATGAATATATTTCCAGAAAGGCCTTGCTTTTCGTCAGCCACGGACTGGGTGAACACAGTGGCTGGTATGATGAGCTAGGGAGTTTGTTAGCCGGAAGTGGAATTTTGGTATTCTCCCATGATCACGGTAAGGATAGTGTACATAAGATACATCTGTAATATACTCAAAAGAATTATTATTATTATTTTGCTTTATTTTTATTTTTTTTTTTTTGGGGGGGGGGGGTCTTTGTATTGGAATATGATATATATTAGCTAGATAATTCAACATGCATGTAAACCCTTTTCTGAATCAGAAAGATAATAAATTTAGCAATTTAAAAAAAAAACACGGTTACAATACACAAGATACCTGTGAAAATATGTTTGCGTTTCCTATCTTTTTTTATCATTTAAATTTGTTCTCACAAAAATCAGAATGTCCTTTGAATGGATACATAACAGCTTATTAAGTTTTACACAATATATATCTATTTTAAAAAGACTTGAATGGATTGGCCATTAGACTTTATATCTGCTCCATAAATAATAAGCCATCCAAAGCAATAGCCAGTTTGATGCTTTGAAACACGAGTGAAGTTTTTTTTAATATAAAAGATTGTTGTGTGCATAAATTCATAATAAAATTAATATGTTTCAATAAACCAATAATATTTGTTTCAGTCGGTCATGGGAAAAGTCCTGGCATCCACAATCACATTGATGACTTCAAGGAATACACGTCAGTTATTTTTGACCACTGCAGTGAAATGAAGAAGAAATATCCGGATTTGCCGTTGTTTTTATTTGGACACTCTATGGTGATTCTCTCTCTATCTCCTTCTTTCTATCTGCTATACTATATTCATTTTTTTCTAGAGAGTGAGTCTTAATATCTCAGTTGGTCAAAGCTCTGAAGCACTTCTTCAAGCGTAATTTCAATAAAAGTTAACCATAGGATTATAATATTGTAAATGTAAGTAATTTTTGAACATTATTCAGTGAGTTCTTACCATTTCCTTATAGGGAGGTGCTGTGGCGATACTGGCCGCTCTCGAAAATAAGACTTTCTTCTCCGGAGTCATTACGTCAGCTCCTTTCGTCATTCCAACCAAAGGCTTGCCTTCAAAAGTAGAGGTGATTGTACTGAAAATTTTTAAAATGGTAAAGTGTCCTTCGTCATTGTGTTCTGTTGGTTTCTCTCTTCATCTGTATGTCTGTCTAGCTATTTGTTTGTAGGTTTTGTTTCAACTGGATAAAATTTGGATGACGATATATTACATTAAGAATATGTTATTTAAATTAATTAGCATTTTTTAAATATTCTATTGGAGGTGATAAATTTTTACCTAAAATCGCATTTATTTCAAGAATGATATCAAGACTCTTTCCCTCAAACATGATTACATGTAAATCAGATATATCATAACATTTCGCAAATTATAGACTGCATAAAATTAGATACTTCTGTGAATCGAATATAAAGTTTGATAATCTTTGCTGTTGCTTTTGTTAAAAAAAAGATTTTCATTACATGCTTTTTAAATTACCTGACCTCATAAATTGATTTGAAAAAAAATCTGACAAAAAAGAGGAATAAATGAATTTGCATTGTCAAACAAAATCATATCAAAATGCTATTTCTACGCCTTCTTGATTTCTGGATTAAACTGAATAGAAATTTGACACAAATAGACTACATATTGATTCCTGGTTTTGTGTGTCAAATTTAAGATTAGTTAAAATGGCATTGCTGTATTCTGAAGGTCCCAAAGAGATATTGTTATTAGTTGATGAAACGGGACTATCAACAGTCTCGTTTAAGGTAACCATTTCCCAAGTTCTGTAGTCGATACGATGACCTTGTCAGCAAATACAATCTATCATTAAGTGGAATGCTGACTGACGTTTTTCATACTAATTGTTAGGCCATTATTTACACACTGAATTGTCTACAGATTTTTTTCCGTTTATCAACCGTATCATGACAAAGAGCACACAGCAGGTGTAAACGGTCGACAGGGGATGCTTACTCCTCCATGACATCTGATCCCACCTCTGATGCTTTTAGAGGTCCGTGTTTGCTATGCACCCGGTCTGTATTGTTTCAATGGTGCCTGATTACCGTTCGTTATCTCCATATTTCATTGGTATACTTGCTGATTCTCACGGTCAGGTACTAATATATAAAGTTCAGAAAGGTAATCGTAGCACCTATTTGCACCCGACGATTTTACAGAGGAGCTAAAATTGTATCGTAGAATTACATTTCAATGTATAAAAAATATGTATGAGTATCAAAAAATGAAGCAAGTTTTATTTACATGTACTTACATTATACTCTAAAAGGGAAACACCAAAAGTTTGAGTTTACATCGATATTTACAACACGTCAAAGTAATTTTATTTTAGCATTAAACATGATGACAATTTCTAGGGTGGAACATTTAAAACTTTTTTTCGTATTTGTGATTCATACATTTTATACGGTTTCTAATGTAAGCAATGGGGGTAAAAACAACTTGCAATGCCTGTAAACAGGGTAATTCCTCGCAGTTTTATTATGGCTCCTTTTGCCCTCGCCGAAAGCGGGTAAAATTAAAACGGGGCTAATTGAACGAAGTCAGAATTATGAAAAAATCTCTTGAATAATAATTACGAGATCTTAATAAAGATCTATTAAAAAAGAATTTATTAAAAGAATCTTTTTTCAAACAACTGTGTCTAGGCAAATGTAAAATGGGAAAAATCGTTTGCAATTAAGTGAGATAGGGCAAAAATAACCTTGTATACAGTATTTACATACGTAAAAACTTTATCGTTTGTTCTTTGTGTTGTAGCTATTTTTCATGAAGAATATGATTGCAAGATTGTGTCCTCAACGTAAGCTTTTCTTCGTCGATTCAAAGGAAGTTACTCGTGATCCTGACATGGTAAGGACATGAAGTTGATTACAAGCTAGGATCAACTTGCCTTCTTATTGAAGAGGCCAAACTAAAACATTTGATTTACAAAATCACTATGCACATATGTATGCGAGTTTCATATTAAACTTTGGCGTTGTATGCATATTTAGAAAGTTTCATTTATATAAAATAATGCTTCGAATTCTTTACCGAAACGATATCAAATTTACTGTATTGAAATTTTTTTTAATGCTATGTAGATAAAAAGATTTGAAGAAGATCCTTTGATTCATCCATTTTTCAAGGCTAAGTAGGTATTGTAAAAGTGGACTATACTGCTTTCCAGTGCATGTTGTTTATTCAATTTGATAGTTTTCCTAAACAAAACCTAATACAAAATGTTGAAAAAACTGATATAAAAATTATTCCACTTTATAACCAATTGCGTTATTTCATTCTGAAGAATATATATGATCCTCACTCACAAGATTTGTGAAAGTTGAAAGAGTTAAGCTTGCAAAATGTTCGACGCATATATATAACATAGGTCTGGATATTGAATAACAAAGTTCATGGAACAGTACTTGTGAAAATAATGGGGTTTTGTTAATGATAAAGAGCCTGTTCTATGCTAAATCTAATTGTTATGCTTATTTTTTTCAGATTTGGGGTTGCTTGGCTCAGTTGCTCTGAAATAATTACAAAGAATTTGGAATCAATTTCTTGGCCTTTTCTAGCAATCCATGGTGATGCTGATAATATAAGTGACGTCAAATTCTCTCAAGATATGTTCCACAAAGCAAAAAGTCTAGACAAAGAAATTAAGGTAGATGATTGTAAATTATTTGATATCAAAATAACATTATAATTAAAACATTACATTCTTCAGTGGTATCTGATCAGTGAATGTGCAAATTGAAATTGGAATTTGATACTTGAACCAAAACAATGCAATTTGTATATTAAACATTATCTTGGTCCCTTTCTCACCATTATTTGAATTTTGCAATTAATACCATCTTCGATCAAACCGTCTTTGTTTAAACATGCATACTTTTGTTATATCTCAAATCTTGATGTCAGTGGCTCTGTACCTTTTCAGATATATCCCGGATTTCTTCATGCCCCACTTTACGAGCCAGAAGAGGACAGGCAGCTTGTTTTCTCTGATATCAAACAATGGCTTGAGAAAAGAATATGAAATAATAAGAATTTTCAAAATTAGAAACTGTAGCACTAATTTTGAAGAAGTTCTCTGATTGCATGAAAGATTACTCTTGTTGACATCAGTTAACAGCGATATGATAAAATACTTGACTTAAGAAAGAATTTTGTTTGAGTTCAGAAGTTTATATTTAGATAATTTAGAAAAGACTTTTATTAAACTTTAAAAGAAAAAAATGATAGTTGATATATGCATGTATGAGCAACAGCTGTCCCAGTCAAGCAATGGAATTTAAATCCACTAAAAATTTCTTGATTATTTCTTATGAAATCAATATTGCTATAAATTGCAGCAATAATGGCTTGTGAAGATAGCGAACAGTGACCATGCTCAAAAGTTTATTTCAACAATACACATTGTGAGCAGAGCCACTATAGACCTCTGAAAAAGAAAAGTGGAACCAGGTACCACGGAGGAGCAAGCTCCTGTCGACCGGTCACGTCCGCAGTGTGCCCCCTGTCATGATTGGATAAACGGAAAAATCCGTGGACATTTTAGTGTGAAAACAAAACGGTCTAACAATTTGAATGAAAGACGTCTGTTAACATTTGACCTAAATACCGATTGTTTTTGCAAACATGGTCAATATACTGGCCATAGATTTAGCGAAATGTTGACTTTAAACAAGACTGTTGATATCTTGTATCATCTATTTATTTGTAAGTAGCCTGCCTCGTTTAAGAAATTGTTTGTACGTAGGACATGTTCGTGCCTATAGAATCAACTGGGAGACATAAACTCCAAAAGCAGATGATAATGGTATTTGTTACATAAATAAGGAAAGTTTGCTATCAATGTATTTCTCTAGGAAAATATCCAAATACATGTACGAAAGAGATGTGACAGACTAGACTCTGCATGTGTTGTCTTTTATTTTGAGCTCAATGACATATATCAAATCAACGTTTGAAAGAACATGAATATTATTAATTGATAAAATGTCGCCGATATATCTAAATGTTGAATTGAAGGTCATGCAAAAGACATCTTCTTTTCATGTAGAAGTTTTTGAATAAATTCTGGAAGACCCGATCTCCAAAACCTACATACGAGGGATTATCAAAACGTTCTGGATTAATGTGATAAAATTACTACTATACAGGCTGTGCTTACAAAATATATTTTATGAACAGCTGATTTTCTTCTCAATGCCAAAAATATTTAAAATATCATTACTGAAAACTTAATTAGTTTTTTTTTTTTTATAGAATCATATATAGCATGTCCGAAAATAAATTAACTTTAATACCTCTTCCGTTTGCCAATTTGTACTGTTTCCCCCATCTCACTACAGAGAAATAAATGACAATTTGAGCCAGGGATGGGGTAATCGTAATCAATTGTAATGATTACTTTTTTTCAAGTAATCGACAGTAATCTGTAATCGAAGATATTTTCGATTACTTGTAATCGTAATTTAATCGATTACAGCTAAAATTTTCAATGTAATTATAATTACTTTTTCGATTACTTTCGATTATTTTATACACAAATGGATGTTATTTTGGAGAATTATTTCCAGTCAGTCACACATAAATATCAAATGTAAACCACCTAGTATAATGTTTGGATTTCCTAACTTTTATTATCATAAGTTTAATAATGTTCCCAATGAAATTTGCATTATAGACCTTCTGGTCTAGTATTAAATAATGCAGAAGTGTATTCAACCATTTATTAATAAAATATACAGATTTTTCGTGTGCATTTTACATTTGATTCACTGTCCTATTGCTGCATGTACTTTTTCATATTTCAGATGTTGAAAAACTTTGTCTTGTAATAGAAAATTATAAGTAGCAAAAATAGATTTAAGTGCTGTATTATATATAAATAATTTGGTAAGTAAACTACATTGTACTCGAAAAAAAAGAAGAAGATGGGAATACTTATCTAAAAATGTTTATACAACTTCAAACTTGTGTTTTAGTAACTTTAAAATTTGCAAAATCATTCTCATGTTTTCATTCAAAATTGTAAGATTGATTTTATATCAGTGAGGGGTTATAAGTGTCTTTAATTGGCTAATTAATTGACTGAGACATCCCTGATTTGCAGATAATGAGGTGTCAACTGTGAACTACCTAGTGTTTAACTTTCATACCATTGAAGACAAACAATATTATTAAAACAATTAATAGCTCTCAAAAAACTTTTTCAATACAGAATGAAATTGTGCTATTAGTTTAATTACTTAAAGAAACATTTAATTTACATGTTTATTACTAAGAGTTCTAATTTACTTATTTTTTTTGAAAATGACACATACAGGAATGTTTAATGTGTACTGTCAACATACGGGCAGCCCAAATACTTCTAATGAAGTAATTCACAATAAAAAATTAAATAATTTTTGCAACAAGTCAATAAATATGGAGGTTCAGATCCAAGGTTGAAAGGAATAATTAATTCCTTGGCATATTTTATTGTAGGAATCATGTCTCCACTTTCCATGGTAGAGAATCCCTCATTTGGGCATTTAGTGAGAATGTTAGCCAGAATAAAACCTTAAAAGAATCTGCACTGAAACTGCAGGAAAACATTCAAACTTCAGTGGATAAGATCAACATTTAAATATTGCTTTGATATTTGAAGGTATAAAAACTTGGAAGTAATCGATTATTAATCGATTACATCTTCCAAAGTAATCGATTACAATCGATTACAGGACAAAAAATTCCTCTAAGTAATCGATTATTAATCGATTACATTTTTCAGTAATCGTGCCCATCCCTGATTTGAGCAGGATATTTTAAAAGAATTAAATTAATGATCAGCATTATTTACATTCGATTTTAAAGTGGACTAAAACGCTTGTAATTTTCAACATGAAAATTCGCATACCAGTTACATCAGGGTACTCAGAGTCCAAACTGGAATAAAATGCCCATGATATACAGTCACTGTACTTCAAGACCTAGTTTTAAACTTTTATTTTTCCATTACTTCCCGATCATGACAAGGAGCACACGGCGGGTGTGACAGGTCGGCAGGGGATGCTCACTCCTCCATGGTACCTGATCCCACCTCTAATGTTTGGAGGTCCGTGTCTGCTCTGCTCCTATTTTGTATTGTTTGATGGACTTTTGAGCTTGAATACTGTTCGTTATCTCCATATATTTCATTGTCTCGCTTGTAGGACTTTTTAAAACGGTATCTCATTTTGAGTTTTCGATGATATCTAATATATTTTTTTTGGAAATGAAAGAAAATTTTTAGTAATGATCACCGAAAAGGTTACAGTCTTTCCTGTTCCGAAAAGTACTATAGATTATCTCCACACTGTGATTTTTTTTAAAGAAAAACAAGGTTACTTCTTTTTATTTTTTTATTTTGATTTTTTAAAAACTAATTCATATTTCAACATATTCAGTGTGTCCACTTATTCCATGTCCTTCTGTAACGGGAAACATTTTTTTTTTTTTAATTAATGCAAAATTTTCAAAATAGAGTTTCTTTTCTTTCATCATTACAGGAAGAAAATAAAGCTTTCGAGTCCTTCTATAAGCACAGTAGAAATTACAATCAAACATATTTAGCCAAATTGACTCCTGAGAATTGTGTCCTCTGAGATTTGAGAGATCTCAGTAGAGAAGTTGGGCCTCGTCTTACTTGTAGGTACACGTATATTATCATTTTGAGCACATTCTTCACATTTATGTATTTTTGGTAGATCCTTCTTTTTTTTACTTAAAAAAGTTTAAAACCCCACCCTAATGAGAATTTTCGGTTTCAGTTATGGATTTGTATCTAATCAAGTAATGCAGAAAATAACGGGTTTATGAGTAAAGTGTGTAGTGATTATTGTAAGAAGATGCTTTACATGATACCAGAAATGTTTAAACCAAAGACATATCTTAGCTCATAAGATGTACATGCATGTGTATACCCCATGTTATGAATTGTGAAACATGTATTTATACTTTATTTTCCAGGAAATACAAAGGAATTAACCATTTTATCGAATCATCCTGGGAAATATGAGTATTTCTTGGCTTCTTGCCATCCCTGGATTTGATGTGATGTATTGCGAATATGTTCATTCGTATTACTCATTAGAAAACCAGAATTACCACAGTCTGACATAACCATGTATAAATGTGGTGAACAAATGCAAACCAACTTGTAAATGGTTTAAAGGTCTCACATTGAACAGGCTTTTGGTGGAGAAAGTAAATAGAGTTTTAAGCAGTAATCACCAAAAACATTTATCATAAAATCTATTTATTACACAAAAAGTGACATAATAGTAAAATTATAAGATTAAATCAAATAAATAAAATTATCTAAAAGTAGCATGAGCAACATATATGTACCGGTATGACTAAATGTGTATGTGGTCAATAAAAGACAGAGAAGTGATATGAATATTTTCTAAGAATAATGTATATGCAATCAACAATGTATACTTCTAAATGATATGCAAATGTAATTATGCTGTTTATTATATAATTTTCCTGAGGAAAAAGTGGTTGATCAACAATTCCGGTTAAATACCATTTTATTTAAAAGGGAAAAATACAAATAGAACTTCAGCATCTGGCATATATTGTTATGTTGAAGTAGTCTTGGCCTTATTAACATCTTTGATATCTTTAACTTAAAAAATTCAAGATATCAAGGTTTCACTGAATTTAGTTTCCTAGAAGCATTACCAATTCCGTTCTACAATGAAGTCTTCAGACATTCTTACAACATAATTATAAAATGTTCTATTCCCACTTGCACTGTTTTCAATTTTCAGAAAAGTTTTGTACATTTGATAACAGAAAGAGTATTGTTCTCCCACCTACCTCCAAGTCAATTTTCAAAAGTTAACATATTTGAATGATTTTTCATATTTATATGGATATTTATATGAATTTTCATAAAACATTACTAATTTGGGAAAACAAAGAGAGATAACTCTATAATTTTGGTAGAACCTGTATTTTTCACTACAGAAATCAACGGAAAACATTTTTAAAACATCTCCCCCCCCCCCCCCCCCCCCCCCGAAACAAAAATTCCTTTTTACAGGTAATATGGATTGTTATTTCACAAATTCATGCCAAAGTTTTTTGTGTTTCATAGGGGGGAACATATGTTTACAGACAAAAAACCGACAAAAATGCTCACTTTTTAACCAATTTCAAATGGGTTTACATCTTAAACGTTGTATTTAATCAATTACATATGTTTAATTTTATATGCATAAAACATAAGAAAAGATTTAAAGAACATTTATCCATATTCAATAATATTTTAAAATATGCTGCTGCTTTCAAGCCTGATTTCAATGGAAAAAATCATCTACCCCCCTTACAAAAAGAGCTGGAATTAAGAATAATTAATTATTTAACACTGTTACTAAAATTATTAATCAATTACCATTGAACCGTTCCTTGCATTCAACAAAGATTTTATTGCCAAATTGCCATTAGTATTGAATTAAATGGGTGTAAAATGTAGGCGGGAATCGAGAGTTAGTGTGCGTGGTTCTTCAAGCCCATACAAAACATTTCAGTTCAAAAAGAGATAGTAAATTCTTCACAAACTATACATGTTTTACACATTATGAGAGGACTGAAGATTACATATATGACAGTCTATAAATCAATCATAAAAATTTTGTCATTTGATACACATTATATGTATATAAATGGTAAGGATATGTTCTTGTGCTCAACATACAAATTACATATATCTACACTACAAATAAAGAATGAAAATCAAGTTTCAACAAAATATGGTGCCTTGTCTAAAATAATCCAGAAAAACTTAAAAATTTCTCCAAAAATACAAAATGGTCTACTTCTATACAACATATGGAATATACGTGTACATAATGGTGTAAAAAATACATAATAAAAACTTCACCATTAGTTTTTTTTTTTAATTATGACAATGTCTGAATATTTTTTGTGACGAATGTTAAAAAATATTTTGACAAATTTAGCCATCTTGATAATATATACTTACATTTAAACCTGAACACATTTACAAAAAACACATGTATGTAAAGTCAAACAAAAATCCTCTAAGACATGAAATTTTATACAGTATAAAATTTTTTAAAACAAATCTGATGCATAACTCATAAAAATTCATAAATCTTAAAATAGTTATAGCTACGAATAAAGTAAAATTATTGATATAAACATGTAGTTTAAAATACAGAATTTTAACATCAAATAATACAGATAAGTTATAAAGAATGTAACAGAGTGATTTAATCCTCATTTAAAAGAAAACATTTTAAAAAAAATTTTCTGCCCTTTCCAATTTTTTTTTTCAATTAATATCCTGTCAAAATTGAATCTGTTAATCAAATAAAAACATTGGAATCCCTGCGCATTATCAAACTTTCTTTTAACCAACACTTTATTCTATCCTTTGTTCGAGCCAGTCCAATATGTCAGTTTTACCAACACTTTATTCTATCCTTTGTTTGAGCCAGTCCAATATGTCAGTTTGAACTCTTTTCCTGTCTTCTTCTGGCTCCAGTAGCAATGAGTGGTAAAACCCTGGATAAATCTGGAATGTCAACAAATACAGAGTTGTCATTTTCATTAGTTAGATACTCCTTAAGAGCAAGTATTTGAGTCGTATCCATAATCATTGACTTTTTCCCCTTTTTTCATGAATATTTTTATGCCCTCGTAATCAGTTGTTTACGGGCATATATGTTCTTTGTCTGTTCACCTGTACTGTCTGTTTATAGTCTATGTGCCACATAAACTTTTACCTTACCTATAACTTTTAAATGGTTATGCTAGCACTTTCATATTTCACTTTCTTTCCAGTGACAAGACCTTTCTTTGGATCATACCAACAATTTTCATCTCATGACCTTGACCTTCAAGTTTTAACCTACATGTGCTTTTGAAAAATATTAACAAACTTTAACCTTGTCAATACAATCTGAACAGTTGGTGCTAAGGTTTTTATATTTCACATGTATATTCCTTGTGATAAGTCCTTTCCTTGGGTACCAACATGCTTGACTTCATGACTTTGACTTTTGAGTTAGATCTACTTTTGAAAAACTTTAACCTTGCCCATATCTTTTGAACTTTTGTTGCTTTAACCTTGGCCATGAACTGTCATACTGGGCTTCAGTGTTTCACAAACACATCTTGTTTCAAACTTGGTCTTTATGAAATTGCACATCTTATATATTTATTTATAATATTATTGAAGGCAATCATGACTTTCTTTTATCCTACTTGAATTTAATGAATTTATTTTTCAAATTTGCATACAGTACTGTGCCTGTGTGTAAAATGAGAGGTATACAGTCATGTAAATATCTTGATAAAGACTCTCTCTTGTTATTTTCTGTAAGTGTGTCTTAAAAATGGAATTGTCAAACTGACAATATTAATAGTACAATATCAAGTATATGTGCCAAGACCATCATTCTAACCTTAAGCTCTTTTTCTTTGCTCTTTGCCTTTTCATACAACATCCTTGACCCCTGAACATCACATAAAGAATCAGCATCTCCATGGAGGGCTAAAAATGGAAACTCAATGGAGTCCATTCTTTCTTCCAGTTTTTTGACACATTCTATCCAAGCAGCACCCCATCTAAAAGAAATAAAATTCATATTTTGTAAATCAAATTTGATATGCATGCAAGAGATATTCACAAGATTCACAAGCAACTCTCTCTTTCTCTGGCTTTGTACAGTTGAACTTCATTCTCTCAACCTTTGTTATCTCAAATATCCTGGATATGTAGAAGTGTCAAAATGTTCCAACTTTTTTTTATGTATTTTAACTTCCATATCTCAAATCATTGGATTTCTCAGTTCCTTTGGGTTTGAGATGATTTGACTGAATTTATCAAAAATATCCTAAGATGTCTGCTCTTCTTGAGAAATTGTAAAACACTATTTTGCATGGTTCTTATCATTTTTCTCATGGTATATGTATTAATTATATAATGAATTTCTGCATCCCTTTTACCTGGATCTCTTGACAGGTTTAACCTTTTATTTCCAAGTTATAAGCAAAATTCAGGATTCAGGATTTTAAAAATCTCTTCAAATATCATTTTTGAACATACGGTACCCTGGTTCAATCATTCATGAAGTAAAACAAGGAGTCATTAAATGTGTCAGTTGGATACCTTACCAAATTCTATAATGTTCTAAATACAGCATACACTGTACAGAGGGAATTTTTACCTGATTTTATCATTTCATTGTTAACTGAACACTTACTTCACTCTAATGTATGGATGTACCATAGGATCATCTTCATATCTCTTTACCTGTTTTAAAAGTCAAGAATTCAAATTTTTGATTTAAAAGAACAAGCATGAAACAAACAGTCATATCAGTCCTTTGATTATTTAAACATTATGTTTAGTATAATATTTTTTTAACTTAGAAAATAATTTGAATTGAATCACTTTTGATGTACATCATTGTTTATGATTTAAAGGAATTACTCTGCATTGATTAAATGGCAAATTATCAAACAATATAATTAATTAATTAATTTTCTCTCAGAATCTATTATAAAGTCAGACATTCAGAAGCTACATGTATAATTTGAAAATAACAATTAATGCACTTTTCATAGTATAGCTATAAATTGGTTCTACATGTTTTACAATTTATAAATCTTTTAGAAAGCTAATTTTGAAAATATTAAAAAATGATAGAAATATAAAAAAAGGAAAAAATTGCTTGGAAATTCCATGGTTTATTATAGCTAGGAAAGTTCAAAGAGATAAACAAAAAAATGTGAAACGAAGGACAAAATTACAAATACTTGTAAATGATGTAACTGAAACCTTTATAGTGATTGCTACATGTTTCAAACAGATATATATAAACACACAATGAAAATGCAAAATCAAAATATAATGTACCAAATAAAGTTCAATACTGTGTTCAGAATTTCCATATATAGTGCATATGCATACATGTACTAGTATACTCATTACAACTAGTGGATAAAAAGCATGTTAACACGAATATACTGTAAATGTATTACATTTAGTGGTGTATTCTATTAAGCACCTTTGGCAAAAAGTAGCTACTGCTAAATCAAGTACATTGCTAAATATCTTGTGCATACACATTTATACTTTTAAAAACCTTCAGAAAGCGCCAAATCAAGTCTTATGCTAACTCATTGGAAAATCAATACTCGGCAAATATCACACACGCTAAAGATAATACATTTACAGTAACCTCATCTTAAAATTTCAATATAATTTGCTCAGCATTTTTCCACAGGCAGTTGATAATGCAGTTGGGAATAACTGGCTAAAAAAAACAACATATATACTACATGTATTAGTTATCAAGGGTTCAATCATGGGTGTGGGGGGTTTTACCCTGGGTTGTATTCTATACACTCTGTGGTTGAAGGCCAAGAGGTGTATGGAACAAAACCTGAGGTAAATCCCCCTACACCCTTGATTGGACCTGAATAATGAATTTCTTTCCTATGTAAAACATATGCTTTTCATTCAAACAGTTTCTTGTAAACCTTGAAGCTACTGCAAGTCACATTTGATGTTTGTAAGAGTTGATTGTTTGGAAGAAAAAAAGATATTTACTTATTTTATTGATTTTTTCAAGAAAACTAATAGAAGTCTGGAATTGTGATGATTACTTTATCTATTTACTTGATTTGAATGTTTGACCAAAGAAAAACAGATTTAAAACACTGACAAACCCTGTAATTTATAAATCTACTTGATTAAAATGTTCTTTGTGTCTTTCCAAAATAAAAATCAGAGAATTGTATACTGATAAAAGGTTTTTTTTCATGTTGGGGAGCAAATCATCAAATATTGCACTCCTGACATTATTGGGTATGCACAGATACTTGACTCTCATTAATGCTGCTTGTAATTTATATTACATTTTTAAGTTTTATGATTACTCTATTTATTTATTTTTCTTTCCTTTTCTTTTTTTCTAGCTTTGGAGAGAGAGACAATGCATTGTGATGTTATGATTTTTTTTACACTCAGCTCCAGCAGGTGTACTGAAATTTACACCTGGCTTGCTAACCAATCAAATCTTGTGCTACATGCTACATAGGAAGTAATACTTTAATCAAAGCAACAAGCAGGATGGTGGTAAAAGAAAAGGATAAACATAAGTTAAATATATAACAATACCCAAAAGTTTTTGTAACCAGGATGTAAGTACCAGCACAGCTACACAATGACTGTAAAACAATGTTAGTCATCAACCTAAGTCTACAAAAAGCAGATGTTAAAGAGAAACTAGATGTAAGCATTACACAAAATGTAAAACCAATTAAACATGAGGCAGCATGCACATATTTGAAGTTAACTTTAAGGTTTTCATTGAATCTTTGACTTTTTTAAAATATTATTCTCATACCCTGTAACAAGTTTGTCATTTGTTTGTTTGATATCATGTGTCAAGGTTTACAAATGTGGATAGAGCCTTTCTAATTATAAACATAAACAAGATGCCCATGGGCCACAACTCTCACCTGAGTAACTATGACCCTTCTTTTTCTTCATCAGCCAATTCTTTTTTCCTACATATTCTACATTGCATGTCAAACTTTGATCGCCCATTGTAGCCCCACCCTACCTCCAGTGTTCATGATTTAAGCAAATTTGAATCTACACTACCTGAGGATGCTTCAATATAATGGCTTTTCTGTTCTTGAGAAGATTTTACAGATTTTTCTATATATTCTCTTCATCCTACCCCCAGGGGTAATGATTTGAACAAACTTGAATCTACACTACCTGAGGATGCTTCCACATATTAAATACAACTGACATGACTGCTGTTCTTGAGTAAAAGTTTTTTTTTTTAGATATTCTAAGTATTCCTATGTTAAACAATGATTGCCCATTGTGGCACCACCCTACCCCCCCCCCCCCCCCCCCCGGGGGGGGGGGAGGGGTCATGGGTCATGATTTTAACAAACTTGCATCTACAAACACAAAGTCCTTCCAAATAAATGTGACTAATCATGGCTTTGCTGTTCTTGAAAAGAAGATTTCTCTTACATATACCCATGTAAAAATTTGATCCCCCATTGTAGCCCAACCCTACCCCAGGGGACCATTGTTTGAACAAACTTGAATCTACACTACTTGAAGATGCTTCCATATAAATATGAACTAAATATGGCTTTGCTGTTCTAGAGAAGAAGATTTTGAAAGATTTTCCCTAAGTAAAATTTTGATTGCCCCTCATGGCCCCACCTTACCCCAATGGTCATGATTTGGACAAAACTGAATCTATACTACCTAAGGATGCTTTAAAATAAATATGACTAATCATGACTTTGCTGTTCCTGGGAAAAGAATTTTTAAAGATTTTTCCAATGTATACCTAAGTAAAACTTTGATCAGCCATAGTGGCCCCATCCTACCCAAGGGGATCATGATTTGAACAAACCTGAATATACACTACCTTTGGATGCTTCCATATAAATAAACATGTCTGGTCATGGCTTTGCTGTTCTTGAGAAGATTTTTAAAGATTTTTTCCTATTTATAACCATGTTAAACTTTAGTCGCCCATAGTGGCCTCACCCTAGCCCCTGGGGTCATGATTTGAACAAATTTAAATTTACAAAATGTCAGGAATCTTTCATGTAAGTTTCATCTTTTCTGAGAAGATTTTTAAATGATCCCACCCAATTTTTACATTTTCTTATCTCCCCTTATAAGAGGGTTGGGCTCTTCATTTGGACAAACTTGGATCCCCTTTACCCAAAGACACTCTTGCCAAGTTTGGTTGACATTGGTCCAGTGGTTCTGGAGAAGATGAAATTGTAAAAAATTTAGGAAGACAACAATGCCAACAACAACAATACAAATGACAGACAAGAGACATTTTTTGATCAGAAAAGCTCGCTTGAGCCTTTGGCTCAGGTGAGCTAAAAAACTCAGATTGACCTTACTTCCTTAACATTATTTCTAGTCTCTATGAGTTAAAATAGAGTGAAAACTTCATTCCCATTATTTTCTTATTTTATTTTGTTAATCTCTTTAAAAAATAATATATTACAAATATAGCCCTTTCATACGGTCAATTCATAGACATATAGACTTCACAGAAAAATATATCACCCTTGCACATTGTGTTCAGTCGATATACTTTTCTATGATTGGAAGTTGATATATCTATGGATTGACCTCATGAGAGGGTTATATTTTTCAAAATATATAATTACTGATTACAGTCTTTAGAATTATGCTATTTAAGTTATACAATGTATTTATTTTAGTGATAATGTTTTAAAACTGTGTTATTTCTCATATTAAAACAAATAATGATTATATCAATTTAAATGAAAGGTGGATCCAGCACCAGTACACCAGTAATATGGTACAAATAATAGTGAAATCAATTCTAATCATAAGCAGATCTAGTATCAGAACATTGCACATGCCCCCCCCCCCCCCCACCACCACCACCACCATACACACACACACACACGCACACACAGACACTCCTTTTAGAATTTTAAAAATAAAATTTATTTCTTTTTCATTTTTCTTTTATCTTTCTTGCTTTTTTAGATTTTGTTTGTAAAATGTAAATGCTCTCAATTTATCCACAAATAACATTCAGGCACTTACATGTAACGTCTGGACTGATTTGAAAAAAAAATTGTCAAAGAAGAGTCTGTTGAACCTATACCCCCTCCCCCCCCCCCCCCCAACACACACACACATACGCACACACCCTCACAATAATATAGTATTTTCAAGAATGGACATATTTTTTCTTTGCTTATCAAAAAAATAAATAAATAACATCCTTGAAATGACGCCCCCTCTCATTCTGAAATTTCTGGATCCATCACTGTAAATTGTTAGAGGTATTACATTTGTAAATGTACAAGTGAATATACTGGGTAAAATAAGTTGTTTTAGTTATATTATTTCTTTGGTCAGTTTATCATCTTCAAAATTTTAAAGAGCAGAATTTTGATGCAGGAAAAAAATGGAATCTACGATAATTAACCAAATAGAATGTTGATGTTCTTAGTCATACTGTGAGAACTCATTTCATGTGTATGTTTTAAAAACAATCTGTAGACAAGTGAGGCTAGTTCTTTATATACAGATTTACCTCTGATCAAGAGGTATGCAAAGATTAAATAGCCTACAGTATGGTTAATTAACTGAAACATGTGAAACAAGCAATTATCTTTCATGAAATTTTCTTGCTTATAAAGAAAACCTATCATTGAAATAGCTCTCACCTGCTCTTTGTCTCGTGAAATCTGCCCTGACTGTATGTGAGCAATTTTGAACATAGGAATTACTCTAGACAAAATTTTCCCTAGAAATACCTGAAAGATAGACGTAAATATGCATAACTACAGTAGCTGCAACGTTATTGTTGACAACTTACACGAATGATCACGTTACACAACGATTCCGCACGATTCACGCACGATAAAATCTGTTACAAGAACGATCCTTCACGCACACAATTCTACATGTTACACGATCTTACACGATTGCTTACGCAAATGCACGATTCTTCACGCAAAATAGTTCAAATTCTTTAGGAATGGATATTTTCAAAACGAAATAACTAAATGCTTAATACTTATTTTAGATTTCAAATAATTAGTGATATTATTTCATCGACTTTGAAAAATGGGAAAAAAAATAGAAATGGATATTTCTGGAACTAAATACATGCAAGATTTATGAATTATTTTAGATTACAAATAATTATTTACGTCATTCTCCGACTTTAGAAAACTGATCTTTTTTTCGTTCTATCAGAAGATGTACATGTACGTGAGTTTTGATTGAATTGGATTTCATAATATTCAGAAAGGGATAAGTTTGAAAAAAATGGCATGAAAATGAATTAAATTATAAGTTATATCCATGTTTCAATATGTGAATCTCTAAAATCAACAATTATTTTACAAATCATTTATTTGCAGAAATTATAAAAATAATTAAAAGTAACCTCCAGAGATAACACTGATAAACGAAACCCCGAGAATCATGTCATGTACATGTACATTCGCCGACTAAATACTTATGTAAGCATTGAGAATTATTTATTTCTAAAAATGTCTATTTTTGATCTATTGAATTTAAAAATATCTTGACCATAATTAGCAATAAATATAATTAACATCAAAGAAAAAAATCAAACATCTAAGTACAGTTTATCAGGGGAAAAAAAAGCATGCTATTTGACGAGAACACAATATTGTACAACTTACTATATTGTTTATTTCAAAGCGATAATTAGTTCGTTCTGTTTTCAATTATAAATGTAAATCGCGCTTCATTTCTTTTTAATTTGGATTGAAAAAAAAAACAGACAAGCGAAATGCTTGTATAACAAATAACATTCCGATAAAAACTTACAAAACGAAATTTACACGTTTCTTAACGCATGATTAAAACCGCAAACGATTGAGTCTGATACACGCACGATCTCGCACGTTACAAGAACGATCACGCATGTTACACGAACGATTCTACACGATTGGTTTGTCAACAATAATGTTGCAGCCACAGTATATACATATGGTTGAATTTTTTTTTCATTTATCATTTTGCTGAACACCAATATCCATATACATTATATTATTTTTTTTAATTTGACATATTCTTTTGTGGTCCTGCCAAAGCCTGGGGGACATGATTAAAAAAAAATTATTCAAATCTACAAAACTACTATCTGTACCTAGAGATGATTTTATTTTAATTGACCAATTGTACTCTTGTGTTCTCAAGTTTTTTTCTATAAAGCATTAATATTATGGTTTATAAAACATTGACCCTCCATCAAGGATCCACCTATGCCCAAGGAGTCAAGATTTGAAAAAAAAAAGTAATCTTCAAAAATCAGTAATTGAAATATTTTCAAATCAAAACAAAATTTTTCATTACTTTTCTGTTACAATATACAGAGTCCTGTAATCTAAATTTATTTTTTTTTCTATGAAACACAAGACTCCCAATTGTTATAATTTCTTTGACGTATCCTAGATCTTATTAGATTTCTCCAGATTTGAAACCTCATTAAATCCTCTCCACCATCAAGTACATGTACATGTATTAAATCTATATCACTCTTAATTCAAACTGTTAAAATTATGAATAATTATGATCAAGGAACAAGAGGCCCAAGGGCCTTGAATTGCTCTTCTGATAAACTGTACAACCTATCACTTCTATTTGAAGCCTCTAAGTATCCTGTATATTTGGATAAAACCTTGAAATTCCAAAGGTAGGTCATCATGACCTACATTTTAGATGAAACCCTCTGAGAACCCAAGATGATTCTACGCCAATTAGTACCTGAGAGTAGGTCATGGTGATCTACTTATCACTTGTCGTTCTCTGAGGACTCATGGTGCATCAACTAAGTTTGATGATTCTAAGCCAAGTAATACTCAAAATATTTTTAAATTTATAACCATAAAATTTCAAAAGTAGGTCATAGTGACCTACTTTTCAGTTGTCGTACTCCAAAGACCTAAGATGCATCAACTGACAAAGTTTGATGATTCTAAACCAATTAGTTCCTGAAATATTTAACTAAAGCCATAAATTTTCAAAAGTAGGTCACTGTGACCTACTTTTCAGTTGTTGTACTCCGAGGACCCAAGATGCATCAACTGACAAGGTTTGATGATTCTAAGCCAATTAGTACCTGAAATATTTAATTAAAGCCATTAATTTTCAAAAGGAGGTCATGGTGACCTACTTTTTAGTTGTCATACTCCAAGGACCCAAGATGCATCAACTGACAAAGTTTGATGATTCTAAGCCAATTAGAACCTGAAATATTTAATTAAATCCATAAATTTTCAAAAGTAGGTCACAGTGACCTACTTTTCAGTTGTTGTACTCCGAGGACCCAAGATGCATCAACTGACAAAGATTGATGATTCTATGCCAAATAGTACCCAAAATATTAAATACAGCCATAAAATTTCAAAAGTAGGTCAGGGTGACCTACTTTTCAGTTTTCATACTCCATGGACCCAAGATGCATCAACTGACAAGGTTTGATGATTCTAAGCCAATTAGTACCTGAAATATTTAATTAAAGCCATAAATTTTCAAAAGTAGGTCACGGTGACCTACTTTTCAGTCGAACTACTCTAAGGACCTAAGATGCATCAACTGACAAATTTTGATGATTCTAAGCCAATTAGTACCTGGAATATTTAATTAAAGTAATAAATTTTGAAAAGTAGGTCACGGTGACCTATTTTTCAGTTGACCTACTCCGAAGACCCAAGATGCATCAACTGACGAAGTTTGATGATTCTAAGCCAATTAGTACCTGAAATATTTAATTATAGTCATATAAATTGAAAAGTAGGTCACGGTGACCTACTTTTCAGTTGGGCTACTCTGAGGACCAAAGATGCATCAACTGACAAATTTTGATGATTCTAAGCCAAATAGTACTTGAAAAATATTTAATTAAAGCCATACATTTTGAAAAGTAGGTCACGGTGATCTATTTTTCAGTTGACATACTCTGAAGACCCAAGATGCATCAACTGACAAAGTTTGATGATTCTAAGCCAATTAGTACCTTAAATATTTAATTAAAGTCATATAAATTGAAAAGTAGGTCACAGTGACCTACTTTTTGGTTGACGTTTTTCGAGGACTCAAGATGCATCACCTTACAAAGTTTTATGATCAGAGGCCTTAAAATGTCCAAATTATGCCTCTAAAATGCTTTGAAACCGAATGCCTGCAATGTTCAAAAAGTAGGTCACTGTGACCTACTTTTCAATAAATACGTTTTATGGCCCCAAGATGCATCATCTTACAAGATTTAATGATTCTAAACCTCTCAGTATTCGAATTAATGACCTTAATTGTTTTGAAAAAGATTAGCCATAAATAAGGGTGCAACGATAAACCGTTTGACGGTATATCGCAGTATATTTTTCCACGGTTCAATTCACGATACGCTAAACTGATATCGCAGTTCGGTTCAATCGGTGCAGAATTATCCGAATCGTCCGTTTTGTTTCCTTTTTTACAATTTCAAAATGGCTTCCGCGCAAAACGTGAGGTCACTGATAACGCATTAACGGAAGTTAAACTCATCTCCAGCATCTTATAGACCTCAGATTTAACACTGAGAAAGACTTAATGTGATTATATGTTATAGATGTTAAGACAAATGATAAACCCTTTAGATCTAAACGTATTCTTTGGTAATACACGATATTTCATCACGTGTGTATTTCGATGAGAATTCACTGTCTTGTTGACTAAAACGTGTTAACACGAGAAATATGACAACTGGTTTTCTATGTAAATAAAAGGAATAAAAGAATGAATGTCTTCCTTTTTCATTCCAATTTAAAAAGATTATTAGGAAAGGTCACCGTAGTTCCCTGTAAATGTTCATCATTGGTTTAGAATATTGTCAAAACTCAAAGATGTACCCAATAATCCAATTCAAGTTAACAAAATTTTATTTTAATTATTATCAAAAAAATATGAACATTTTATATAACCCTGTTAAGTTAAAGAAAAAATATGGTGACAAACTTGAAAGACTTTTTAACCTTGTCATGTATTGTATACGTATCGTATCGTGAACTGAATACCGTGATACGTATCGTATCGTGAGGTTAGTGTATCGTTGCACCCCTAGCCATAAAATCCAAAAAGTAGGTCAAGGTGACCTACTTTTTAGTTGACGTACTCCGAGGACCCAAGATACATCAACTGACAAAGTTTGATGATCATAGGCCTTAAATTGTTCAAAATATGCCTCTAAATCATATTGAAAAAGAATGGCCACAAAATTTAAAAAGTATGTCACTGTGACCTACTTTTTAGTCAACATGATATGAGGTCCTTAGATGCATCAACTGACAAGATTTGATGATCTTAGTCCTTATAGTAAGCAAAATAACAACATTTTAATGAAATGTAATTTTTGGTCAACTATGAAGTGACTTTGAGACCACGCCCTTTGCCCCAGGGTGATGCCTTGAACAATTTTTAATCTACAACATATCCTCATCCTTTTGTGTAAGTTTAGTATTAATCTGCCCAGTCATTCTTGAGAAGAAGATTTTTTAGCAACCAGTACTTTTGTTTCTATTTTCCTAATTATCTCCCCTTGTTTAAGGGTCACAACCCTAGTTTTAGTACAAACTGGAGCCCTTGGGCCAAGGATACCTGTGACAAATCTGACAATAATTGGACAAGGGGTTCTTGAGTTATGGCCCATATTCTAAAAAGTTTACGCACACCACACAAATGGCCATAGCATTAGCTCTTTGAGCCTTTGGCTCAGAAGAGCTAATAAAAATAGGGACATATCTAGAGTATGTCCTGCAGACTGACAAATGACCGATTGGATAAAAACATGCTTTTAAACTGTCAACTCATGGGCAACTCGGGACACAAGGTTTACCAAAAAACATACTTGATAAAAATCATTCACATACTTTGATTGAGACTAATAATCCAGGTGTGGCCATTATGGCAGGTCCTGAGGTAATAACTCCTTGAAAGATGTTTGGCTGACTGGTTGCTGCCAATAGTGCGATGGCACCTCCCTGAATATACAGAAAAAAGTATTTCATACCATACACAGCATCAAACATGATACATATATTACATGTATACCTAAATCACAGCTAATAAGGAATGCATGAGCTGTGATATAAATTTTTCAGAAGTTACCATGGAATGTCCACAGCATTTAGCTGTAATATAATTTTTCAAAAGTTAATACCATGGAATGTCCAAAAATGAACAGCTGCAAGTCTGGGTATTTAACCTTGACCTCATCACAGTGTTGAAAGATGACTGATGTGTATTCACTAAAATCATTCACATGATTGTGAGTTCCTTCACTTTGTCCATGGCCAACTGAAAATTGAAATTTGAAGTTTTATAATTACATATAAGTGTAGCCATCTGTTAAGTTTGATTGCGGCCAGATTGCTAATTTGGTAGATAATCATATCTCGTTATTTTCAGATAATTCTGTCTATTAATTTCATAAAATGAAAACTTTTAATTTTCTTTAAAAATTTTTAACAAATTTCTTAGAAGTATGTTTTAAGGTTTAAATTTAAGATAATTAAAACAGATTTTACTATCTACATCACTTTTAAAATTTCTGAAATATTGATAAAATTATATTCTGTAATAAAGTTTAACTTCTGATGACCAAGTTTACCCCCACCCCCTCCCCTTTTAATCTTGGGATTTTTGTTTAGAATCATGTGCATGAAATTTTTGAAGGATAAGAACGATAAGAAGGATAAGAAGGCAAATTGCAAGTAATGGACATATATATGTACTTCATGTATTGTGTCTATTAAATAAATGAATATGGACCAAAAAAACTATGATCAGACTGCTTGAGGTTCCAACAGGCCTAAGGCTGATTAATTTTTTTTCATACATGTAATTAATTAATGATAATATTAATTTTTTGATTCAGCTCTACAGTATATGTAATAATAATAATAATAAAATTTTATATAGCGCCTTATCTTATGTGAACTCTAAAGCGCTTTACATAGATATAACAATCTACATAATAAAAGGAAGACTAAAACAATCTTATATCACCTATAAAATAGTAAGACAATACATGTATAGTACATGTATTTTATTTTCAGTCTTAATGAACATTTTAGAGTAATGCCAGTTGTTGATCCCTTTACTAATCTGTGATATAACTAATGAAATGATAACTTGTCAGCAATAGTTGAGTCCATAGCTAGAGAACAGTTTTGGTATGCATTGTGTGAGGCTTGTTTTAATTATTTTATGAAAGGGAAATACTGGTACATATGCATTGATCCATGGATATTCTAAAAAAGAAATATTGTCAAGAAACACCAAGAAAATCCTATGAACAAAAAATAAACTCTGAAATTCAATTTAATCAATATTATGGAATTAAAGCATTTGATTGATATGACATTCAAAGACTTGAAGGAGAATAAAATGAAAATCCTTAAAAAAACAATTACCATGGTCATGAGCAAATACATAGAATCCAATGTTGACAAGAGCTTCGGCTAGATCATCATACCACAAACAATGTACTCCCAAACCATGACAAAGGAAAATCAGTGCCCTGTTGAAAAAAATCAAAATGGCAAAAATTGACATTTTATGTTCAAATCAAAGGGATTAGGATGTAAAAGCAGGAACTTACATACATGCAATTACTACTTAATGGAAAGTTCTATCTACAACATATGCAAATTTATGTTCATGCATTTTTAGAGTGTTATTAAAAATACATAAATGAGAGAACTGTAAGTTTTGAGAACTTGTGTTTAATCCCACACTGACATTACTGTCAATAAAAATGTTCTAGTCAGATCAAAACATATATCATTATCATTTGTCACTTGTATTCATCAGATATTGATGAATATGTTCAGACCCACAGAAAAAGACTTCTAATGACTAGTCATATTTGTTATATGGACTTCTTAAAATGCAACACAGAGAAAAAAAGTATTTTAAATGTTGCTGCTTTTGAACACTATTTAGAAAAAGATGTATTTCTATTGTTTGAGTAACTGTACACCATCTTTTGTGCAGTGAGGCATGGATAAGTATGATTACTTCATATTGTGCTGAATAATTACCAATCAATTATCATGTTGACCAGAATTTGTCTTCTTTGTTATTTCATTCAAGAAGTAACTGTCTGACCAAAAGCAAACTGTTGCATATAGCCCCCCCCCCCTTCCCAAGTTTCAGAATTTTGATTGCAATTGCTCTGAAGTAGACACATCTTGAAATTAAAGTGATTTTTTTTTTCATGAATTGTTTTCAGCACAGTTTAACGTTGGATACTATCGACTACATCAATGTGGAATTTTTTCTACATGCTTAAAAATGCTGATGTAAGAAATAAGTATGATTTAGGAGTTTAATAAAGGTAATTTCGAGTAGCTTAATAACAGGTCCAATCCAAAGACTATTTCTACCTACATAGCTATTAATAGCTACCTAGGTATTTAAACCTACCCAAAGTAGCTATTTTTACCTACTTTTTGTATTACTTGCATTTTGTGGCCAAATGGCTGAACGGCGCATAATGGTGAGTACCAAATTTCTTGTTACAGTCACACTGATGATGAATATGACAAAATTTTGGCCAAAAAATGATTACTTCCTACTTTGGGTAGGTTTAAATACCTAGGTAGCTATTAATAGCTACGTAGGTAGAAATAGTCTTTGGACTGGACCTGAATAAACTACATGTATGTAGGTAATTCAAGCTACATAGCTAAATATAGTTAATAATCATTAATTAATGTCAGGTGCTTGGATGTCAATCTGTTAATTGGAGACCCAAACACCTGTGTTTACTACAAGTAAGGTAGTGATAAACCCTGTATAAACAAACGTTTCAACAATATCCCATAATGCCTTTTAATACTTAAGAATGTAAATATCAGAAAACTATAGATAATTTGACTTCATTTGTTAATAAGCTAATTTTCTGAACGTGTATCAGGCTAATGAACTCTTACTTGGGTTTTTCTTCTGAAAACCAGTGTTTGCAAAATATTTTCTTGTCGTCCTTAGTTTTGATAAATTTCGTGTCATTCTGTACCGTCGACATGGCTGAACCGTCACTCAGTGAAGTAATTTACTCATGTGGAAATGATTGCGTCTTCTCTGCCTTCGGCTATCGGTGTTTGTTGTTGTGGTGAGATTTGATGAAGGCCGCACCCGATTTTATTTTTTTTAATCTGAGTAACTTCCCTTATATTATTTTAATGTAAACAAAACGTTGCACAACATTACAATACTGATAATGATCCTGCAGGACGGAACGCAGGTAGCATAGGTGACTGATAAATATTCGAAGACTTTCTACAGCCTGTTTTCAAGGTAAATAAGTCCTTTAGATAATCTATTAATCAGTCGATATATAAAGTTAGTATCTTGGGATACATACTATGTATGCACATGTTCATGTAGGGTATCTTACACGTGGAAATATTGCCTGAAGACAATTTTCATACAGGCGATGTTATACATAATGTTTTATCTGTCTGTGGCACAATTTTTAAACTTAGTTTTTATAGTCCCATTGCGTTTTCATGTAACAGGATATGGTATTAACAGATTTAAAAACATCCAAATAGTTTAAAAGTATTATATATTCCAGGGACGTGTGCACATAGCAGAGACCTATATATTAACCTGGTTATAGACATGCACATACGTGCTATTCTGCATATTTATACAAAATGTGTCGATCTGTAGTTTTGCGACGCACTGTACCACTGGACTGGTTACATGTACACGAAATATAATACATGTACTTATGCCAGCTGACTTTCGTATATATACGTCCCTGATTATACTTTCTGTAACTTAATTAAATTGTGGTATTAATCACAAAATCGCAAAAATTTGAGGTTCACATGGATGATAGCGATTTAAAACAATTACCCCCCCCCCTCCCCCGCGCTCCACTTCCTACATTGTAGTTTCAATCCATCTTCTCGGAATAAGGGTACCCAGACAGACTTTGCAATCCATTTTCAAACCGAAATAGAGGTAAACGAAAAAAAAAATAAAAAGAATGATAAAGATAAAGCAAGAAGCCTTAAAATTAACCTTTGAACCTTGACATGAATATCGCTAGATATATGTACATTTTCAAGTGGGTATCGGATACATCCCTGTGATCGTGTACCTAAATGTCATTTGCCTTTGGTGCATGTTGAAAATATATATATTTTTTTATATATATAAATAATGATCACTCTGTGCGTATAAAGGTTAGTCAGCTGTTTACTGACCAAAAGACCAAAGGGTTTTTTTTTGGGGGGGGGGGGGGGGGGTAGGGGGTTCTCACGAAGATAATTTACGTAATCAACATCTGGTTATAGGATAAGTCCTACATTTACACCTAGCCTGAGATATAAACATGATAAACACAGATGTCTTATATCAGAGATGTTAACACAGGTGTCAGGCATGTATATCTGTTATTTATTTTGCATTCTGATTATTTCATACTGGTCGTAATATGTAATTTTTAGACTTGTTTATTTGTACAATCATGTAATATACAGAGAATATTCAATAATTGTTGTTGAAAATGGAATTATTTCACAAGTGGGACAGGAATTTTATTATTATTATTTCTTTAATATATATATTATATATTTTCACGAGCACAAAACACTAATGAAGATATAAAAAAAAAAAATTACCGTCTCACGAGTGAAATAAATTCCAAATCCAAAGTTATAGAAAACATTGAATTTTCTCTTTATTATACTTTACAGTATTTCACTGTTGAAAATGTAAATAGAAGTAAAAAAAAAAAAAAAAAACAAGATGTGTTTGTGAAACACTGATGCCCTCGTACGGCTACTTATAGCGAAGGTTAAACTTTCTCAAATGAAAATCAAATATGTTGGTACCAAAAGTAAGGTCTTATCCCGAGGAATATACCTTTGAAATATGGAAGTCCTAGCAGCAACCATTGAAGAGATATGGAAAAGGTTAAAGGTTTTCAAAAGTAAGTCCAACATCAAGGTCAAGGTCAAATGGTCAAAATTAATGGTGCCCAAGGAAAGGACTTCTTACAAGAAATACACATGTGAAATATGAAAGCCCAAGCACCAACCGTTCAAAAGATATGTTTTTCAAAAGTAGGTCAAACTCCAAAGGTATCCAAAGGAAGGTCTTGCATATCACAAGGATTACATGTAAAGAATAAAAGCCTTAGCACCAACTGCTCAAAATATTGGTCAAGGTTAAAGTTTTTCAAAAATAGGTCAAACTGCTTGGTCTTGTTATAAGGATTACACTGTCACATGTGAAGAATGAAAGCCCTAGCACCAACTGTTCAAAAGTTATGGCCAAGGTTAAAGTTTTTCAAAAGTAGGTCTAACTCCTAGGTCAAGGTCAAAGGGTCAAATATGATGGTATCCAAAGGAAGATCTTGTCACAAGGATTAAACATATGAAGTATGAAAGCCCTAGCACCAACTGTTCAAAAGTTATGGCCAAGGTTAAAGTTGGATAAAATTTTGTAAAGCTGGGTCAAACTCCAAGGTCAAATATGATGGTACCCAAAGAAAGGTATTGTCACAAGGAATACCCATGTGAAATATAAAAGCTATAGCTCCAACCAATCAAAAGTTATTAGCAATGTTAAACAAACAGATAAACAGACAAACAGACAGACGGACGGACAGGGCAAAAACCATATACCCTCGAATCTTCGATCCAGGGGCATAAAATGTATTGACATTTTATATCTGCATTAAAGATTCTCTAAACGTACATTTTTATATTTTCACTGATATGTCTTTTATTTGTGTAACATATATGTATAATACATGTGTTTATCAATGTTGCTTAAATAACGACTTTTGATGAAATTACGCTCTAAAGTACTTACAAATGGTTCCTACATATATCAATTTAGCTCTGTAATATGCGATACGATTTGAACTCAAAATTCCTGAAAAATTATTCCTCTACATGAGATTTGCTTGATAAAATAAATATAATTTTCCCATCAAATGTGAAATTTCAATGCTTCACCAGAAATGTTTAAAGAATCAATCAAAGTAATGCCTTGTCATATAATATCTTACCATAAATTATACATATAATAATGCACTTGTTCGAATGGTTGAAAACTATATAGGCAAATCCCAATACCCCTTCCCCCAATATATGCAAGGTACACCAATTGCATTCAATAGCTAAGCATGTTGAACTACAAAAATTTTTTAAAATGCAATGTGTTTCAGTCTTTTCAAAAGATGACCTCCGATGACGATGATGTTGTGACCTTGGCCGACATTAAGAAGGCTAGGGAAATAATAATGACGTCACCACTGAACGTCCATAAAACACCCATCTTAAAAGATATGACGTCATATTTTCCTGAAATTGAACAAAGTATGAATCTGAACATGAAACTAGAAAGCATGCAAACAACAGGTAATCTTAGGTTTTGTGTAAATTGTAACATACATGTACTATGACACTGAAAACTGCATTTATTTTTTCTTTTATGCATATAGATTTGACACATATTACATATTTCAAAATAGATTTATAAACTTAAACAGTTAAAGGAGAAATATTCTCTGCTTAAGAGACGACTTTTGACCATGTCACATTACATTTCTTCATCAAATTTCCGTCTTCAACAGTGGTCTCAGACTGTGTCTGATTGATTGATTGATTGTATGTTGTTTTACGTCCCATTCGAGAATTTTTCACTCATATAGAGACGTCACCATATACCGGTGAAGGGCTTCAAATTTTGACCTTTACTCGGCACTTACGGCCATTGAGCAGTGAGGGATCTTTATCATGCCAACGCCTGCCGTGACACGGGGCCTCGGTTTTTAAGGTCTCATCCGAAGGACCCGCAACTTTCACTTCAAAGTGCCGAGCGCATGGCGAAGGAACAGTTGCTACCCATTTTTTATCGAGATTCGAATTCACGACCCCCCGATCACGGAGCGAGCGCTCTACCAACTGAGCTACCGTGAACGGTGACTGTGTCTGATAGGAAGTTTTGAATCTATATTTTTAGACCAACGTAGGAAAAAAAATAAATCCTTATGTTCACCTAGAAGGTCAAGTGCAAGTGAACATAAGATATTATTTTTTTTCTACAATGTTGGACCACAGCCAATCAGCAAAAAAAAAAAAATTGTTCAATCATATAATAAATAAATTTGTTAAAAGTTAATTTAAGCACCATCCTACATCCCTTTATTATAAAACTATCATAATTATAAAACAACTCTGTATTAATGGACAGAAAGTCATTCACCATTTAGTTTTGGATATACATATATCATCAATTATATTCTAATGAAGAAAATTGTTATCGAGTAAAGTAAAATAATATTTCCTTCATATCATTTACCAGGTTCATTCAAAATACGTGGAGTAGTGAATCAAATGGCGAATCTTCCACAGGAAGTAAAAAGCGGTAAAAGGAAGTTAATTACAATGTCAGCCGGGAATTATGGGAAAGCATTTGCGTATACCTTGAACAAGCTGAATCTTTCTGGCCTTTGCCTTATGCCACTGACAGCGCCATCAAACAGGATAGCACTGATTAAGGTAAATTTAAAAAGACACAGGAAAAAACTTATTAAGAGAATGAAATATGTAAATAACAAACAATATTATTTTTACTGTGTAATTCAATAAATCTGATTGGTTTGCTTGCTATCACGTGCAAAATTATATTTTAATTACGATATTGACTTGAAATACTATAAATAACATAGGGAAAATCCAAAGATGTGTTTATAAGTCTTTAAAACTTACAAATTCCTACATAATGAATTTGTTTGTCTTTTCCAAAAAAAAAAAAAATATAACCAAATGTAGCCCTTTGATGAGGTCAATCCATAGGTATATCGACTTCACAGAAAAGCATATCGATTTCGCACTTCGTGCTCAGTCAATATGCTTTTATGTGAAGTCGATATATATCTATGGATCAACGTCACCAAAGGGCTATATTTGTATAGTTTTCAAGCTCAAAGTCCATTTAGACAATACAAATCGGGAGCAGAGCAAACACGGACCTCCAAAAACATACGAGGTGGGATCAGGTGCCATGGAGGAGTGAGCATCCCCTGCCGACCGGTTACACCCGCCATGTTCTCCCTGCATGATCGAAAAACAATCCATAGACAAATATTAATAATATGGCATTGTTTTAGCATGCAATATGTACATTTGGTTGTTTGAATACATAACTATTCTCATTAATTCAAAGGATTATGGTTAAGCGCTCCATATGGAATTTACTACATTATTAACTTTAGTACGTTTTATTTTTTGGTAATGCAACAACAGACCACTAAATTCAAGAAACAAAATTATCTAATACCTTAAGCAGTTTATTAAGCCACGTCATTTATGTTAGGATTTCATTATGGCCAGCCTCATTGCATGTCAAGAATGTTTTAGTAAATCAAGTTGTTTTGCTAACTTTTCCTAGATGTTCTTATATGCGAAATTCAAATGAAATTATTATTATTTCTTTTTTATATAGAGCTTTGGGGTTTCTGTGGAGCAGTGCCCCACCTCTGAATTAACAAGTGAAGTTAACCGATATGTTGAGAAAGAAAATTATATTTTTTACCATTCGTTTGATGATGCGAGGTTGATAGCGGGTTATGGAAGGTACTTAGCACTTGACCTTGATCTTTCATGTTATTATCTGTCTAGTAGATATAGAAATTGTCGCCAGTTAAAGGTGGTTAAAACTTGTTTTTTTTTTTAATATTTTAGGGATAATGAAAGTACTGCTTCACGCCAAAAATGTAGAATGATGAAATGTCAATCATTGTTTTTCTCACACATTGACCATTTGAATCTGGTGCCAGATTCTATATTTACAATCTTGTTTTTCCTAATGTTTGATAGCATGATGCATGACTTCCTGTTTTTTCTCCATACTAATATTTTGTTCGTTTTTCACAAAAGAGATTTTGCAGATTTCAAAACGGGACAGTTCATTCAAGTCATTGTGACCTCCGCATTCAGCAATGACTGCTAGTCAATTATAGATAGGCAAACTATATGTTTGAAAAGTCGTGTTTTTTCATTAATATGTAGAGTTTGGGTTGCGAGGTGGTTGTGCTGCCAAGCAGTGAAATGCAGACAGCCTTTGCTCAGTACGCGGCACAGAATTTTTCTGTCATTCATCCGTACGACGACCAGTCGTTCATAACAGGCTGTGGCAGGTAAAAATTTCGCGGAAAAATAAACTTGATAATAAATGAATAAATGATAATAAATAAATCACAGATTTCACAGCTGACTATTAGATAATTTTTAATTATTGCATCAAATTGTAGTAAATTTTGTTATACATTTTAGGGGGGGGGGGATACTGCTGTTGAATGAAATATGTGGAGATAACGAAGAATATTCGAGCTCAGTAGTCCATTAAACATTACAAAATAGGAGCAGAGCAAACACGAACCACTAAAACATCAGAGGTGGGATCAGGTGCCATGGAAGAGTGAGCATCCCCTGCCAACCGGTTACACCCGCCGTGTGCTCCTTGTCATGATCGGGAAATGACGGGAAAATCCGTCGACAATTCAGTGTGTAAATAATATGCTAGCGTTTTTGTCCAGATATAATCACTTGGCCGCTGTGATAAATTTAAGTCATTCAAATACAGATCATTGATATAGCACATTGATTGAACTTCGGTATTCGTGTAATTATGATACAAATACAATGTCGTGCGATTTTTTAAGTTGTACGAATAGAAAGAAACGTTGGTTTACAGAATTTCCAGTAAAAGAAATTTCATCTGTAGTAATAATTTGTTCTAGATTTTGCTTTGTACTAAATTAGCTTGGATTTCATTTTTTGCAGCTCCATTTTCTATAACAAAGTTGCGTTTGACTTTTCAATTTAATTTAATGAATATTTTATTATATAAAGACTCTTTACATAACTAGGTTTGACATCAGACATCATACCTATATGAGTCCTCTCCACGAACGTCAAAATTACAAGGGTATAGAACAGTTATGTTACAATAATGGGTAGTGCATAATCAATTATATTAAAACAGATATTACTTTTTTTCAAAAATAGTTTTTTAGCATCATATTAAAGAAAAAACAGAGTTAATTCTTAAAAGCAATCTCTACATTGCACAATGACATAATGAAAAATTAATATAAAGAGAGGTTACAGACCCTGCCTGTGTCGGGAATATGCTGCGTGACTCAGGATAAAACTCTACCATTCAGTTAACTGAAAAGTGACTGAAAGTTTACTGAAAAGTAACTGAATGACAGAGCTCAGCCATTCAGTCACCTTTCCAGACATTTCAATGACCATTCAGTTGACTGAATGGCAGAGATCCATCCTGTGTGATCAACTTGAGCTATATGATGTGTTTTATAGAACATATGTACAAGTAACACTTTTTAAGTGTCGTATATGATGATGGGTCATTTGCAAAATGATAATTATTCTAAAATCTTTTTAAAAAACAATTTATGTGTTTTTCTTAGTCCAAACTTTAAGGTAGTTTTATACATTGAAAACAATATATTATCACCAAACTAGCAAAAACTAGCGTATTTTTTTTATTGATCACACATGCCTGTTTTCATAAAAATATTCAGGACAATATACATGTATATACAATTTCACTTTACATGTACGTTCTTTTAATACTGATATAATTTTATTTTCTGAACAATGTATCTTTTATGAATATTAATATTAAAAGGGTTTTGAAAAAAAAAACTTATCGTAATGTTCCGGTTTATCCAATTACTAGTACCATTAAATTAATGATTTCCTTTAAATGTGCAAAGTATAGATGCATGTGTTTAAAAGGATAATGAGAATTAACTTTATAACCCTTTATCAATTTATTAAACTCTGGAATCATTATCAGGAGTCATTTTTAACGTTGAGATAAATATTTTAGATATAGTATTTATAAAACGTAGTTTGTTTCCTCAAAAAGTAAAATTATTTTTCAAGAGTTACGTTTCTTTGCTTTTAAAATTTGATGTATTTTGGTCAGCATTGCCTTGGAAATTCTAGAAGATGACATCAGGCCTGACGTAATTGTAGTATGCTGTGGTGGTGGGGGACTGGTTTCGGGGATCGCAGCAGGAATTAAACAGTCTGGACTTGTAGACTGTAGAATATACGCAGTAGAACCGGAGGGATGTAAGACTGCCGTTTTCTCTAACATGAACCATGCATTCTTATTTCTCTCGCAGAACTTCGTTTATATAATATACTGTAAGTGTTATGAATTGGTGGAAAATAGATACATGCACTACATTTGTTATATTCAGCGAGAACAATGTACGAGAGCTTCCGAAAAGGAGAACCTGTCACAATGGCTGTTAACTCTGTAGCTTCTGGGTTATCTCCTCCTTATGCAGGTTATTCTAAATTCATTCATCTCTATGATGTTTACGATGTTGTCATTAATTGCTATATTTAAAAAAATCACTGCAATTTATTTTATTATTGAAAAGTATAAATCCAACAGTATGTTCATATTTCAGGAAAATTAACTTATCGGTGTTGCCGGAAGTATGTAGAGGATGTGATTCTCGTGTCGGATAGGGAAATACTGAATTGCATGTCGAGACTGTTTGAGTTAGGAATAGTAGCCGAACCTTCAGGATGCGCGGCGATGGCGGCCATTTTATATAATAAAATACCTGATGTTGCAGGAAAGAAAGTAGTAGCAATTATAACTGGAAGTAATGTGTCAATTTCGGAAATGACGTCATATATTCAATAAAAGATTTTTACCCTATCAAATGTTACTTTTTTATGTTGTAAAAAATCAGATTTCATATGCTAGCGTATTACATACACAATGCATGGTGGCTCCAAACACTAATGAAAGTTTGTTTTGGACTTTCTCATTTAAAGTTCCGTCAATGAGTTTATCTTCTTTATTTTGAACTTAGGATATACCTTCCATGTTCCCCCAGTAAAAACGCTCAAAGACAAAGAAATTTTAGTGCACAGTAATCACTGTTGCTTACTTTTGGAAAATATATGCCAGGCCCGTAGGAAGCAATTTCAGTCGGGGGGGAGGGGGGGGGGGCACAACCTTACATTTTCAGATTTCTAGCTGGGGGGGGGGGCACTATCAACTACCAAAAATTCCTTGCCAAGCAAAAAAAAAAAAAAAAAAAAAAGGTCATCAGATGTTATTATTGAGGGGGCACAAGTATATAGTAGCTAAATTTTCTATAGTAATCTATATATCGGCAAAATTATTGGGGCACCCCCGTGCCCCCCCCCCCCCACCCCCGGTTCCTACGGCCATGTATGCATTATCTAGGTTAAATAGGATGATAAAAGTACTCTATGAATTTTTGATATTTTACTACTGAACTGTATATGAATCTTCGACACATTACTATGCCATTTTCATTTGCTTTAAATCTTCTATGCTTTACAATGACACTATATTATATTATTTACTGTAAATCTGGGATCTTTTGCTGCGAAAATTTGACCCTGGATTTTTTACATTTAAATACGACACTGTCTTGCATTGAATATTTGATACTTAACTATGGCACTTTGAATAACTCTATATCTTTCATACTTTGACACTTTAAATAACTCCGAATCTTTAATTAATTGTTATGACTCTTTTTAAAATAACCGAATATTTCATACTTCACTTAATGATTCATTGAATAATACTGAATCTTTCAAACTTTACTATGACGTTTTGAAATAACTAAATCTTTCATTCTTTCATACTTTTCTACGACACACACTCAGATCTTAAATGATAATTTTTATTTATATTGAATCTTTAAGGAGTCAGGTAGGATCAGGTGACCGTCATGGCAGATGAACCTTAGGTTTGCTACAGTATAGTCAAATTAATTCTAATTTTTAAATGAATATGAATTTGGTTCATATATTTATTAATTTTTTAATTTTCAGAATTGATGTGGACCGGCAAAGTTTGAAATAAATTTTATCACTTTATTATATTTTATCACATGTTTGAAATATGTATTATACCGGTATATCAAATTGAAACAAACGTTCTAAAGTTTAAGTGTATTTAAGAAATGAATTTCATTTTTGAAGATTCATGAGGACATGAACTACGACGCTTCACGCGCGTTAGCGCTTCGTGATAAATATGCTGGTGTGAAGCGTTGTAGTTCATGTATCTCATGAATCTTCAAAAATTAAATTCATTTCTTATATTTACATTATTTTTCTGATGATTTGCCACAAATAACGCCATTCAACTGTCATTTTTAAAGCAAAACAGTTTGCACTATAGTTTTGACGTCAAGTAAGGTATGATGACGTAACAATGGAAATATTCATGCCCATTCATGGTAGTTCATGAGAAAATGAACTGTATTCTATTTTGTAAAGAATAATAGAGGAAATTTATTGGAAATGTAAATATTTATAGATTGACTTTGTAGAAGAGAAACAAAATATCAGACACCATGACCAAACACAAGTAGCATTGAAAGCAATACAGATACCCCGAATTCCCAAAAGATATGGGACATTCATCATTTAGATATGCTAACACTTAAAATTTGAATTTTCAAAAACAAAGTCATTTCAAAACTGATTTCCAGGAATAGGTTGTTATTGTCTTAATAAAAGCCTTCTTGATTTTTGCATCAATTCATCATTTGTATTCATATGTTCAAGCTTAAAATTTCAAACGTCGTCCCTTCAAAACCGATTTCCGAAAACACACCACTATTTATTAGAAAACCGTCGATTTCTGCATAGATTGTTTATGTGAGCGTTGTTTCAAAATATACAGCATACTTGACAAAGTAAACTGCACTTGATAACCATATAAACATTGCAATGATAACCAAGCACGGACATGTAACAGCAGCAGCAATGGGGACTCGTACTTCTAATTAACACGGGGGAAATTATAACCTATACTGTTTAATAGCTATTTTTTCAAACAGTTTCTTTAACCTCAAGCTTAATAGCACCCCGTGTATTTTTTATGAGATCAAGACTTCTTATCTTATATTCAGAGAGATATTAGAGAACTAGAAAAACTCCGTTTTTTATTCTATATTTGCATTTAGATATCTACAGTGATTTGCATATTGAAGAAAAAGCTGTTCGCAATATATTATTTGCTAGAGCATAGATGAAAATGTTAGACTTGCCGAAAATCCCGAACATATACATAAAAATTTATTTTATGTGTTTAAAAATATTAGTTTGAAAGTCGAATCATTCATAACAATTATGTCTAAAGAGGCCCTTCTAACAAATAACACTTCGCCTCTAAATTCTTTTTTTTTTAATTTTGAGGCGATTCTCTCAGGAAGTACAAAAAATTTGACGACAAATCTGTAGATGTTGCAAACCGGAAACCAATTGTATATAGAACAGGGACCTATAAACTGACGTTATGCTAATACAGCCAGGAAACACTTTCATGAAATTCACTCAGGAAACACTTTCATGCAAAATTGCATGTCCTGTATGATAGTGTAGCATTCAAAAGCAAGAAAACACTCTTTAATGGAAAATTATATGGGTATGAAATACCAGTAGAAAGATGTGTGGAAGAAATGAAAAAACCTCCGGAGGCAATCAAGAGGACGGCACACAAGGTAAAAAATATTGTTTTGGACAGAAAAATAATGTTATCATTTATGCTACTTTCACCTAGGATTACATGTAAATCTTAAATAAAGAATCATCAATTTCAGATTAGGGTGAATTAAAAAAAAATGACCACCAAATTGAAATGTTTTGAAAAAAATCAACTACCTATAACATATTTTTCACTTATATAATCATATTGTACATGCATTTTAGTTCAAATTTCTGAAGTTTCAATAGAATAGACAATTGGATAAAAAAAGTTTCAGAATTTTTATTAGTAAAACTTTATTTGAAAAAAGAAAATATCACTATATCCTAAAAGACTTTCTAAAATGCATAATCAAAATATATAAAAGTTTTTATGCTTCAAAATGTATCAGGGATATAGATAATTAGATCTAAACCTTGATTGAGTTTCTTTTCTCGTATATGTGGAAAAAAATTAGCTGTTTGATTCCCCCCGAATCATTTTGTTTGTCCGTTTAAGTCAGTACTTTAAATTTAAGCCAAAAGAGAATTTTGACATACAAGTTTTCTTTAAAAAAAATACTAGATTTTGAAGTGACCCTATGTTACATTATTGTGTTGCACTCCTGAAATCTGATATGTATTTTATCTAACATTGTTTTAAAAATTATAATGCACAATAACCCATTCTTAAGGTGTGTCACTCGTCAGCTTTTTAGAAAAGTTCAGTCAGAACCCTTAGCTTCAAAACTGTTTATTACAATTCAATTTTTATAACATATTTAAATTAAATAATGCAAATTATTCAACATTCAATGAAAAAACTGCTCAGAAATTCATAAAGAAGCAAGATTTATGAGGGACTATTTCTTGTGGTGGAAGGATATTTAGAAGAAAATTCTTCAAATCTCCACATTGATTAAATCTAATGTCTTGGAACTATAGCCCCACATATTTTTACTTAGAGAAAATTTTCCTTTATGATATGCTAGGAATATTAAATATAGGTCTCAATTTATATTTTTAGAATAAATTTTACACATTCACTCAACAGACTTCGCCAAGAAATAAAGATATATTAAAGAAGTCAAGATAAAATTTACACCGTTTTTTGCCTGAAAATCGCAAATTTTGACCAATATCTCAAAATTTACATCACTGACCCCAACTTTTTCTTTCATAATTTTAAACAACAAGATATTTCCAACCGATCACCTCTTAAGTCATAAAAAGTTTGATACAAGAAAAATTTTATTGCCTATTTAGATATTTTATACCCCAGATATGATACTTTTTTAGTGCAAAAAGTCACACAATAATTTTTGCGCATTAATTTGCATGATTTGTTCAATGATATATATCATTTACACTATTTTACATAAAATAAGATTATATTTATTGCCAAAATTACATCTGATAAAATATGATAAAGATTAAAGTGATTGACCAAAGAGTTACAATTTAAGTGCAAAAAGGTCAACTTAATTGTACCCTAGCTCGGTAGGATGCACACTGACCCCCCATTTTCTTTGCGATTTTGAGTCATGCTATATGAGTACTTATTTAAAATATACTTCTCAAAAAATCCTTGATATAACTAATTTCACGAGTGACATACCTTAATTTGTAAATTTATCAGTTCGTTGTTTTGATATTTTGTAATTTACGGCAAGTTTTTTCATATTTTCAAGAGTTCAAAACATGATTATTTGCAATGTGTAATATATATATATATATATATATATATATATATATATATATATATATATATATATATATATATATATATATATATATATATATATATGGACACGTTATTACTGGTGACGTAAATACATGTACAGTTAATAATGAGGACCTTAGGTCACTAATTTTAAAAGGTCCTAAATATAGGGGAACCCCGATCCTTTAACTGGCGTCGTAATTTCATACATATAATGGATTATGTAGAGGATTACGCCAGGCGTAGGCTCAGATATGAAATAGAAGACCTTGACACTTTGTCAGAATGGATTAAATGTATCAGATGTATATTAAAATCTCGCATTAAACGATTGAGGGGCAGTACGAAAACCATCTATCCTTCTGTATTCAATAATTTAGAAGTGAAAAAAAGAATTAGATAGATTACACGATCAGTACGTACTGGTCCCTGCTGACAAAGCAGCTAAGAACATTGTCTTTGTTTGTAAGGCTCATTATATAAATTGTATTTTAAAGGAACTGGGATTTAATTCTACAAGTGGTAATCCAACTTATACCCATAGATCCCTTTCTAACGAGGAAATTCTTCAAAATCATATGTCAGTTTTGAATATTTTCAATATTCCCAACAACCAAAATGAATTTGAATTACAGTATCTATATTGGATTCCGAAACTTCATAAAATTCCTTACAAACAAAGATACATAGCGGGTTCCAGTAAATGTTCTATTAAACCTCTTTCTTTACTCCTCACTAAGATATTAACAGTAGTGAAGGAGAAACTTCAAGAATACTCTGCAACAATATATTCGAAAAATGATGTAAATCAGACGTGGATACTAAAAAATTCAAAGGAACTTTTGGAACATATGAAATCACAAAATTTTACCAAAATTAACAACATTAAAAACTTACGACTTTTCAACTTTATATACAACTATCCCCACGATAAATTAAAGTCCAGACTTTCTGACATCGTTGACAGCTGCTTTTTCAATAACAATGGAACTCGTAAATTTACTTACTTTGTCATTGGTCATTTGCAAAATTACTTTGTCAAAAAACAATCTGATTGTACACACAAATACTCTGAAGTTGACAATAAAAAGATGCTCGAGTTTCTGTTTGACAGTATCTATGTGGTTTTTGGAGACCAGGTCTTCCAACAATCTATTGGAATTTCCTTGGGTACCAGTTGCGCCCCGTTATTAGCAGACATATTTGTATTCACATGGAGCAGAATTTGTTCAAAATCTTTTACGAGAAAAGAAGAAAACACTTGCTGTGGCCTTCAACTGGACATTAAGATATATCGACGACGTATTGTCAATTAACAATGGTTATTTTCATTCTTATGTCGACACGATATATCCCGGTGAGCTTGAGATAAAAGATACCAGAGTCTGACACATCTGTTTCATATTTGAATATTTTATTAGAAAAAGACGTTAATGGTAATCTAACAACAAAGCTTTATGATAAACGTGATGACGTTAACTTTTCAATCGTCAACTTCCCTTACCTATGCAGCAATATACCTGTATCACCTGCATACGGAGTTTATATCTCTCAGTTTATTGAGCATGCTCTACATATGACCAATTTCTAAAACGAGGTAAGTTATTGACAAACAAGTTGATGAAACAAGAATATCAGCAGTCTCGTTTAAAGTCATCACTTCGTAAGTTCTATGGTAGATACAATGATCTAGTCAGCAAATACAATCTATCATTAAGTCAAATGCTGACTGACTTTTTTCATACTAATTGTAAGTCCATTATTTACACACTGAATTGTCGACGGATTTTTCCGTTATTTCCCGATCATTACAAGGAGCATACGGTGGGTGTGACCGGTCGGCAGGGGATGCTCACTCCTCCATGGCACCTGATCCCACCTCTGATGTCTCAGAGGTCTGTGTTTGCTCTGCTCCTATTTTGTATTGTTTAATGGACTTTTGAGCTCGAATACTGTTTGTTTTCTCCACACATTTCATATACATTGTATTTAAAAATATGTGTTTAGTGATGAAAACTATTCTCTGAATTAGCTGTAAAATATCTGTAATTAGTTGATAGACATAATGTTTTGAACATCAAATAGTATTAAACATTTTTTTTTCAATTTATATCTTAGTAAAGATAGAAGAAGATGATTGATAAATAAACAACATTTTGTTGCACTCCTGACTGCAGTAAAATTAAAAATTAAAACCACAGAACACAAAAAATCATAGTGTTGGAACATTAATAGCCATTCTCTGTAAGCATTTAAACTCTTATATAGGGAGTGTGGCACGCTAGGTCTTGGATTTTTATGAAACTTGGCAAACATTCCTATATTGATGTATGAAACTAAAATTCATAATAAAATGGTTGCTATGGTCATGGTTACCATGGCAACCAACATACATTTTTCATGGCCTAAAAAACGCTAAATTTTGATGAAAAATGACCCTTTTTGACTAATTAAAAGTCTTTAATAGAACAAGATATTAACATGACTTTATATTTTTGCCAAAATACATCATTATGATAGTTCTTTAGATAATTTCTAGTATTTGGTTAACTTTACCTCATAGAAAAAAATATCCCCCATTTTTAGGTAGGATTTTTCTATGGGAAAATTGTAGATTTTAGGCTCTTTTGAAATGCCTGGTATAAAATTTTGCGGACATTTGGGGAAAAATAAATACATTAGTTTGAAAGTCCACATATAGTTCTAATATAAACTGCAAAGAAACACTTGGTATTCATATCTTGTTTTCGTGTTACCATGGTTACAAACTTAGGCTTTTTTAAAGAATTCCAGACAAGGGCAATAGGTATCTACGATCAGATTTACATATAAATACCTGAGTATTTTAAAATGGATTTAAACCAAATTTAGATATGTGGTACACAATAGCAAAAACAAAGAGAAAAATCAATTTTCGTGACAAAATGTCTAAGGTCAAGGTCAAAATGGCTCAATTTAGATGGAATTTAAGGAAACTAGGCACATTTTCTTCTGTGTCATAACTATTACTTGTGTTTTAAACAACATATGAATAAACAAAATTACAGTTCTGGTTGACAATAACTAGCATCACATGAATTGGTAAATACGGACAGAAGGTCAAAGTTCAAGGTCACAATGGTATATAAAGTTTGCTTTTTTGTTCCCCGCTTTCACTGTAAGTGGGTGATATTAATTTGGATCTGTCTATCCATCCATCCGCCCGTCATCTGTCTTTCTATAACACTTTCGTGCGATGTCTCGAGAAGCCTTTGAACCTTTGCAGTGAAATTTTACATAACAACTCTCTGAGGCCTAAGAAAGACCCATCGATTTTAAGGTCAAAGGTCAAGGTCATGAATACATAAATTCTGTCTGTTTTAGCACTTTATTTCGGCGCAATATCTCGAGAAGCCTTGGAGCTTTTGTAATGAAATTTTATACCACAACTCCCTATGGCCTAAAGAAGACCCCTTTTGATTTCGAGGTAAAAAAGTCAAAGTTCAAGGTCAAAAATTTATACATTCTGTTTGCATGTAAAACTTTTATTTCCGTGCGATATCTCAAGAAACTTTTAAGTTTTTGCAATTGAATTTTATATCCTAACTCCCTATGGTTCCGCCCGCCGCTCTTAAAGTGTCCCTCCCCCCACTCTCCAACCCCCACCCCTCTAGATCCCTACATGCTCTTCTTTTTTCCTTAAGCAGGGGACACAGATTCTCAGAAATAGCTTGTTAGTATAGCATTTATACTCGGATATTTGTGAATGTCGTATCCTGTTTTATATACAATGTATTTTACTGAAACTGGTATTACATTCTCACCTTTAGCTTTATGCATAATTTGAAAATGCTATGAGAATGGTTTTTTAAGGTCATTTATTGATTAAAAAAAGGTAGCCAATTCAAAATATTGAAAGTCTATATACACTTGATATATAGAGTTTCTTGTACATAGAGAATCGTGCTACATGCATGTAAAACACTCTTTTGTTGTTTTTGTAGACTAAGTCCTTGTTCTAAAATGTACATTTTTTTTACTCTATTCAACACTCCGTACTTTTCCACTGACAGTCAAAATGTGTTTTCCTGTGACTTTTTTCAGAGAAGTTGACAGAAAAATCCTAAATCCATTTAACTTCGCAATATTATTCTTAAAAACTGGAAAATTTAGAGACATTGATGAAAAATATATCAACCCAAATATGCCTGGATTTACGTAATAGATCTACTATTTCCAAACTTTATTCAATAATAATCTGTTGTAAAAATCTACTGAAACTGTTCAGATAATCTGTTTTTGTACTTTCTTGAATTTATATCGGTTGCTTAGTTTGAGTTGGTTGGTAAGCTTGATGAAATCGTACACCCTATGGTGTGTAATGTAAACATTATTTCTTAACCTTAGTCCTTGAAAATGTTGATAATAAATACTGGCAATCTGTCCCTGCCTTCTTCCTACAGTTTTCATTTTTAAAATGAATATAATAAAGTAACCAATGACCAGGACTTACTCCACCCCTTCCAGGAACCATGTAAAATCACTTACCCCACATAAATTGGTAAGAGTCATTTGTAAGAAAAACACGGATCCTTTGTTAAACGTTAAGAAGCATTATCTATATGAAAGAAAACGATCGACCTGAAATATACCCACATAACTTTTCTCTCTTTTTTGTGATACAAATAAAGGCAAACAGAAGAGGAATTAAAAAGATTGAGTTTTCTGCTACATCCCTCACTAAAAACAGGGTTTTAGGTGTGGATTTTTTTTTACACTTAGCCTTTAAAAAGAGATAACATATACTTTTCCGTTTTTTTAATTTTAGGATTGGGGTGTAAAGAGAGTAAGTTTATATTTATAGAAAAACCTATTAAGTTAAAACATTTATCATATAAAAATTATGTTATGAATGACATAAATCCTGTTTAAAACTGCGTAATATGACTGCTTTGACTTTGGTTTAAGGGACAACCATTTGATTCAGAAGGGGGGGGGGGGCAAATTTTTCCAAGTCAGATTATTTATTTTCATAGTAGTGAAAGACAGATTATTTATTTCCAAGATGATCCAGGACAGATTATTTATTATCAGCTTCACTGAAAAAAGTCTGAAGAGCCCCCCCCCCTCCAAAGGAAAACGCCTAAATGCTTTCGTGTTTGTGTATGTGTGTGTGTGTGTGTGTGGGGGGGGGGGGGGGGCTAGTTCCGGTTATAAAATTTTAACCCATAGTATAATAAGGTGGGGGTTGTAGCATGTATCAAGGATCGATTATTTATTTTCCTGTTAGTCGAGGACAGATTATTTATTTTCAGCATTTTCAAGAACAGACTATTAGTTTCTAAAATCTGTAACCCTCTCCCCACCCTCGAATCAAATGGTCATCCCTTTAATGACAGGTATCAACTTCTAACATATCATTCAATACGAATATGATACACCTGTACTTTGTTGTTGCCAAGTCTATTTGTTATCCAACTTTCAACTTCCAGTTTTGTATGATCATGTAAATGTAGCTTGACTTTAATTATTTAGGTAAAATCAACAGCCTAGTTCTCTCACATTATAATTCAGTTGTTTTTTTTCACACTTTTTTTTTTACATTCGTTTTAAAAAAAAAAACAATGGCTTTCCAAGGCTGTATTCATTATATAATATATCACTCTGACTGAGACACTGTACCTCTTCTTACAACCAATTCAAAGTAATTCTGATATCTGAAGTTTATCTTTTTTCCCCATTTTGAAACTCCTAAAACCTTGAGGCTTAGGCTTCAATATCATGAATGTGTACAGAGCTGATTTTCTGTACCATGTGGTCTTGTACATTTCGCCATTGTTCACACATCAAAGTCACTCTTTTGCATGCAGGAAATAAACAAAGAGGTTAAAATTTGTATGCACATTAAATAAACAGAAAAAATACTTGATTTTACTTGAAATCAAGGATATTTGTTGACATTTGTAAACAACTTCCAGTCAGTTTTGTCCAATGATTTTTTTATCTCTCACACTAAAGAGCTCACAGTTATCAAAGGGAGATAATTCAATTTTTAAATGAATGTCTGCTATTTTAATCATAGATTTCTCATATTTATAGACTGAATACCAACAATGTTTTTAAATGTTTTTTAAAATTAGATAACATATTTTTTATTTCTGTGAAGAACGTGAATTGAAGTAGCCACATTTCATTAAATGACATTCCCAAAAATTGCATTTTTTCAGAAAAAATCAACTTTAGACACCGTTTCCATGGTAACTACTCAACATTCATATGATCTAACAATATTTTTTGGAGTAGTTTCTGAAGTGGTAAATTCCAGCAAAATTTGAAAAAAAATCTGTGACTATGCGTGCCACAAAAGTTGAAGTGGTTACAGAGAATGGCTATTTAGTGGTAACGAAATTGTGCCATATTTATAGTCCAATACTCATAATTAAAAGAACGTATTTAAACTTGGCTTTATATCTTGAATTATTCCCTATTTATGTCAAAAAAAAAACTAGCTAAAATATATATTGAGAAGATAAATATATTTTATAGTATATTTTCCTTCACAGGACAAACACTGTAAGCAACTGAGGTCAACTAAAACATTCTACTCTTCAATATTTTCTTTATATTTATTCATATTTGATCAGCAAAAATTATAACATATTTGTGGCACTACTGACCAAGACCATGGGAGTCTTAAAAGTAGAATTTTGAAGCGAAAATCATATCAGAACTTGTTCTGTTGTTTCAGTGAAGTTGAGATGGAACTACTTGAATTTTATAACAATTTTTCACTGTTTATTTTTCACATTCTTAAAAAAATCAAAGAAAAGCTTTAAACACATCTGAATTGATAAAATTGAAAAAGAGAGAGATTTTAATTTAAAAAAAAACTGTCAATAATTTAGTACCAAATTAGTCAAATAGATCATTATTAATTAAAGAATATTCCTTAGCATGAGCAGTAGTCTTTTCATCATATAACTTGAATCTTTAAAACAATGTGTTGCACTCCTGACAAAAGAAATATATATCTGAAACACAGACAGACCCTGTGACTGATAAATCTATTTGGTAAAAACTGTTCTTTATGTCTTTATTTTCCAAAATAAAAATCAGAGAATCATATACTATTAAAGTTTTTTCATGCTGGGGAACAAAACATCAAATATTACACTCCTGACATTATTGGGTATGCACAGATACTTGACTCTCATTAATGCTACTTGTGATTTATATAACATTTGAAGTTTTAAATTGTGCATGAGTTATTGTTTTACACTTCAAAAATTCTTTTTTGACTTAATTGTCTTTCAAATATTTAAAATCGATTTTGTTTTGGCAACACTACATTTTTTTCTGTTGCACTCCTGACATGGTATAACGCTTTTTTTTCAACATCAGCCATGGCCACAACTTGGTCAAACAAAAGTTGCTAAAGTCTACATTTAAAGCTCAATACTTTGAATATTATCAGGAAAGTATTTCCACCATAAACCATTAATATTTATTTCACAGATCTTCAAAAAATATTGAATTTTAAAAATATCACAAAAAGGTGTTGCACTCCTGACATTTTTAGTATCATTTTTGTGCGTACATTTTTTGTGAATTGAGATATCAATGAGATATTTGGCAGGTATCTAGACACTATCTTAAACATACGCTGAGACATATAAATTTATTTTCATTGCCTGTACTTTTAATGCAGATTGAAAAATATGTGTTTGGTCATTTTTTTTAATTCACCCATTAACGTTTGTAATGATAGTGAACTGTACATAAACCTGTAAATGAAACCTAATGAATAGAATCCACTCTAAAAGGAATAATATTCTCCACGATAATTAATAAAGAAAAAGAGAAACGTAAAAAATAGGACCTTTTAATATGATTAATATAATAAGATTGTTACATTTCCTTCATAGAATAATCGACAGGGGATGCTTACTCCTCCATGGCATCTGATTACACCTCTAATCTTTTTAATAGTCTGTGTTTGCTCTGCTCCAAGTTTCTATGTTTTCTATGGGCTTTTAAGTTTGATTTCTGTTCGTTATCTCCATATTTCATTCTAGTAAGTTTAAATGAAGATGCTTCTTTTTTAACTTCATGATTTATTTTCTAAATGAAATATCTTTTTACAGAAACAAGTGGCAAAACTACAACCACTACTTCCTCCGAAGTGGATTGCAGCGACAACAGTTTCAAAGCAACTGGTACAAATGCATTTATTTTGCACAAAGTAGCACTGGCAGTACAATGCTTCCTTTTCGGCTATTTGCTGTAAATGCTTACAAGAATTGCTATAATTTATTCTCGTTTTGATCTCCATATGTTCCTTATGCTAACTGAACTCACGGAAATAGGATGTAAAGTGTATGTATTTATTTACATTTTTGCATTGAAATATGAAAAAAGACCTCTAATGTAGATTTTTTTTCTGCGAGAGTTGCATTTCTTTTCAGTGAAGCCACTTTGCGTGGTATATTATACACATATTTACTGCCTGGACAATGGGAAGTTTATTGTTCCCAAGACAGCAACTATTTCCCAAGACGCAGCCGAGGGAAATAGTTGCTGTCGAAGGAGACAATAAACTTGCTATTGTCTGAATAGTCAGTAAATAGATGTTTTATCATACCGAAGCAGACTTTTCTTCTGTCATGTCATGATCCGGATAAAATTAGAAGAGTTCAGAGGTGAAACCCTAGGGAATGTTTCGATCGCAATTCCTCCATGGGTTGCTAAGAATAAAATAGCAGGTTTCTTTGTCATATCTTTATAAAGAAAAATTCACATAGGTATAATAAAGCATAATAGTAGATATATGTAATTGTGCTTATTGTAAAGTTCATGGGATATGGGTGATGTGGGAATATTCATGTAGATCCAGTTGTTGATGAAATATACTCATTAATTGGATTTAGATGCTTTAATTGCAAGAAATTCTCAAAATATCAAGAGTCAAGAGTATATTCGCTATTTAAAGAGATATACTGCTGTATTTGAATACTAGTGTTGTTTATTTGCCCTTTATTACAACTTTTTTTGAATCATCATTTTCAATTCAATTTTTTAATGCACAGGATGTAACATTGAACTTGCTGGTAAATTGTTGATAATAACGGATAGTTTCAAAGATGAACCGTGGAGGAGGGAATTGTATTGTTTGTGTAAACAATTGTATTCGTTTCTTAACGGAACCAATATAACAGCAGAAATTTTGACTGGAACCAGTAAATACAAGAACTGCCCTATTGTGAATGAACGTGCCAATGAAACCTTTCTTCAAGATGAATTAAAATCTTTGAATTCAGAATACCAACCAATAGATGGACAAGCAGGCATGGCGTTGATTTTATCAGACAGACCTGATATGTTCGATTCCTTAGGTGATTTGCCAGATGAGAAACAAGAACCTTTTATATATTTCGTAAGTGTTGGAAAAGGAATGGACACCAAACCTGAAGATTCTTGTCTTCGGCAATATAGATCTATAAATGATGCTTCCGAAATTTCAAAAATTGGATTGGAATTGGAGAGAAATGCGTGTAATCGTATGTATAAATTAATGTTATCATACACCTTTTCATTAGAAATGATGCTTGAATTAAAGTGTTTTTATCATGAAAAAAAGAAAAGAATGTGACTATCTCTAATATACATGTAACTATTTCCTATTTAAATTATCAGTTATTCATACATTAAATTGATATGTACAATGTGTATTAGAAATGTTATAATCATATCAAATACCAAGCTTCGAATGAAAGCTTAAATACTTCATAGCAAACCTTTATATCCGAATATTACAGTATCTTTATTATACACCTTCATTTTTTTCATTCAAAAATCTAAACGCAATCGTTTTGACTTTTAAATTTAAAAAAATCTATTTTCCTTTATTCCTTATCTCTTGCCCTGCCCTCAGTCAACAGTCTTCGATCAGTTGGCCACGACTTGAGAAGTTTTAACTTATTATCCTACTCTTATTTGATATGCAAATAACGTTATTCATACATGTACAACAAATATTCTAAAAACAGTAAATAAGATTATTTTACAAAGATTCTTTTCTTTAATCTGGCATACAATGAAAAATGTATGCAGTATAACTGATTAAAAGTTCCAAGTCAACAACACCTTTAAATCTTATAAAGCAAATCTGAAAAAAAAAACAAAAAAAAAAAAAAAAAAAACAAAAAAAAAAAAAAAAAGAATAATCTGAGGACCCAGGAATAAATGTATAACATACATGTACATATTCAAAAAAGTTTTAGTATGATCGATGAGAGACACATATCATTATTAGATATAATTTTATATTCCCCTTTTGGACTTTTTATAAAATTGTGTAGATTCTTCCATTCGTTCTTGAGATATTTTTTGATAAGAAAACAATCCAAATCAGTAGTTACTGTTTTAAAAACAGTATTGTTCGCCTTTTACAGCTATGGGTTATTGAAAAATAATAGCTGTCTAAGTTCAACCTGGCACACACCTACAATATCTACAACAGCCTCTCAAGGTATTTCCATACGATTATTGATGTTTTAAAAGATTTTCTGGTCTAAGTATGCTTAATATATATTTATTGCCAGAAGTGCCTTTGATACAATATACTCTTTTATTATTTAAAGACGACTAATTATTAAAAAGAAATACATATTATGCATGGCAATAGCAACATCAAAATAAAATTGAACTGTGGGAAAAGATTGAGATACATGTAGTCACTGAAATATTTACCACATCTTCAAGGTTGTAGTCCATTAAGGTATTATCGATAATGGGGAAAAATAAAACTTTTGGGTACTGGGATGAAGGGGGTCATATTTAAGTAAAATGTATATTCAAGCCGGCCTTCAAGTAACTTTTAACAAGAAAGGTCATATTTATTGAAGTACTTACATAATCAGTGAAACAAAAAATGACTTTTTTCATTTAATCTTCAGTGAAAATGTCTGTTGTCATCGTCAGTGTTATTGGGGCCCTGATTCTGACAGTAGTTATCGTTCTTTGCTTCATCTTCTCTCCAAAATACAAAAGGAATGGAAAATCAAGAAAGGAAACATCTGTAGAGTTTTCAGCTGTGGACAGCAGAGTAAGATTACAATCGTTTTTGTTTGTAAAATTAAAGTTTTACTCTGCGTTTTTATTTAATAAAATAAAATCAAAATTCAGTTGTAAATCTAACAGTAAGGTAAGATGGGATTATTCTAATAATATTTAAACAGTATTTCGTAAGTTGAAAGTAAGGAACTCTATCTAGATCTATAAGCAATTGTGTCAAATAATATATCATTCAGTAGATGAAACGGGCTACTTTTTTAAATTAGTGTGGGGGATTATCTGAGTTCCTGTATTCTGAAGCCAGAACGTTTCAGCCAACTTTTTCAAGAGATTCACAAGACAACTGCAGCGCCTTGTGGGAAAAGAAGACTAAGAAAAACAAAGAGAAAGAGGAAAATTGTCATCTGCACATGAACTTTGTTGAGGATAGCATTGATTCGTCAGTCAGGGAATGCATGGAGAGAAAGAAAGACTCAGATGAAGCAACTGAAGAAACCGGCTAGGAAAGTTTGAGGCTTAAAGAATGGTAAAATTAAACACAAATATGAAAGAACATTTAATCATTTTATCGAAAACGCATCATTATTAAGCTATGTCATTTTTTGTTGCATTTTTAGTGGAAATGTATCATCAAAGGACTTGAAACAGCTTCCTTCCTGGTTATTAGAATTAAACTTCAATTATGTCTATGTTAGGGTATTTTTAAACATTACAAGTGTCATTTTATCAAGAGAAAAACACGATGAACGGATTGTATGCAACTGGAAATTTATAGACTCATGCATACGAATCATATAATTGTATTTTTTAGCGTACATATGGTGCATGTATGATTTTTTTTAGCACTGATAAATATTTTTTAAAGTTGCTTTCAATTTCTGTGTTATTATTTTAGTTTAGGACATAGTTAACTTTAGTTTTCATAGTGTCAAAGTTATCACTATAGTTAACTGTAGTTAACGATAGTTAACTATAGTATTTTTGTTAGGGAAAGTATACCTGGAAAAGAAAAGATTAATTTAAGTAAAAGTTTCCTAATAGAATGTGAACTTAATTTTGTTTAAAATTATAGACCACACTGAAACGTTGCTTCATGATAGGAGACCACATTTTTATATGGAAATATATGGGAAAACATTTTTGAAAATGACAGTGAATAGTCATATTAAAGTGCAAGCACCATCGAGTGAATTAGATTCAGGTTTGTTCAAAATATGGCACTGGACCTTGGGTTGGACACAATTGGAATTCAAAGTTTTGAATTGGAATATACATTGTATAGATATAAAATAAATCTTTTAAAAAAACAATTCTTAGGAAAAACAAGGTAATGATTAGTCAAACTAATATGAAAGCATCCTCAGGTATGTACTGTAGACTTATTATTGTCCAAAACTCTTCAAACCATAACATCCTTGGATATTGTGGGACTACAATAGGAGTTTAGATTTTGTGTAGTGTATGCATGTATAGAAAAAAAATCTTTTAAAATCTTCTTGTAAGAACAGCAAAGCCATTGTAAATGCAGACCTTCTTTGTAGTGTCAAGTTTGTATAAATAATGCCCCCTAGGCCAAGGTGGGGCCACAGTAGGAGATCAAAGTTTTACATAGGAATAGATAGGGAAAACTTTATTAATCTTTTTTTTCTATAGAATAGCAATGTCATGTAGGGTGGAGGTACAATAGATCAAAGTTTAACATAGGAATAGATAAGGAAAAAAAATATCAATCTTTTTCTTCAGATAAAGAGGTCATGTTAGTCATATTGATATTATAGTTTCCCCATGTTGTATAGATTTAAGCTCGATATACAATCTCTAGAGATTAGTTTAGGGTAAAAATTCGGGTTAAAATATTCCTCGTTATTAAAAGAGGAAAATCATGTAAACATATTATTCTAAGGACCAAGGTGATTCAGATGAGAGTTGTGGCCATGGTCTTTTTTTGCGATATCTCATTTTAATATCTATACGAGAGAAATGCATTATTTCATTTCATTTCATTATTTCATTTATTTAATTCAACTGCAAATGGTCAGACTGGGGGATACACTCTAATGCAGATTCATGTAAGACACATAAAATGCGGGAGCTACATAGGCATAACATTTTCCGTCTCTCTGTCCGTCTGTTAATCGACACTTTTGTTTGTTTATTTGTTTCAAGTCCCCTCGAGAATTTTTCACTTATATTGAGACGCCGCCACTTGCCGGTGGAAGGCTGTAAATTTAGACCTGTACTCGGCACTCACGGCTTTTGAGAAGTGAGAGATCTTTTTCGTGTCAGCACCTATTGGGACACTAACTCCGCGGCGTTAGAGCAAACAATCTAACCACTGCGACACGCAGGCGACTGATCACTTTTGTAGTGACTCGATAAATAAAACAGTTTTCATCGTAGCATTTTAGCTTAACTGCCCTAACAAAAACCATAGATAACTATAGTTTACTTTAGTTAATTATAGTATATACTTTGATAGTTTGATTTACTATGAAACTTAACATGTACTTTAGAATATTTTAGTTCAGCTGAGCCGAAGGCTCAGATAAAAAAAATTGTCTGTTGTCTGTGGTTGTCCTCGTTGGCATTGTCGTCGTCGCAAACATTTTACAATTTCATCTTTCACTTCAGAACCACTGAGCCAATTTCAACCAAACTTGCCACAAAGCATCCTTGAGTTAAGGAGATTCAAGGTTATTCACGCCCTCGGAGATAATTAAGAATTCGTGAAAATTTGGTGGTATTTTTTTTTAATCCGCTTCTCAAGAGGCACTGGGCCAGAGAGGATAAAACTTATGTGAGAGTTTCATTACACACCTCTAGACTCAAGTTTGCTCATATCATGACCCCTGGGGTAGGGCGGAGCCACAACAGGGGTCAAATTTTTACATAGGAATATATTAGAAATGTCTTTTAAAAATCTTCCCAAGAACAACAAAGCTACTACTAGTCATAGAAATGAAGAAACATCCTCATGTAGTGTAGATTTAAGTTTGTACAAATCATGACCCCCGGGAGTAGGGCGAGTCCACAACGGGGGGTCAAAGTTTTACATAGAAATATATAGTGAAAATATTTAAAAATCTTTTCAAGAACAGCAACGCCGTTTTTAGTCATATTTATAAAGATGCATCCTCAGGTGGTGTAGACCCAGGTTTGTTCAAATCGGGGATTCAAAGTTTTACATAGGAATATATAGGAAACGTCTTAAATCTTCTTCTCAAGAACAGCAAAGCCATTATTAGTCATATTGATACAGAGTATCCTCAAGTTGTGTAATAGGAAATATTTTTGAAAATCTTCTACTCAAGAACAGCAAAGCTGATCAGTCATATTTATATGAAATCGTCCTCAGGTAGTGTAGTTTAAAGTTTCTGACCTCTGTGGTTACGGTGTAGCTACAATGGGCAATCAAAGTTCAACATAGGAATAATTTTAAAAATCTTTTTCCCAGCAAAGTCATGATTATATATCATAGTAATAAAAAAATCCTCGGATAAAGTAGATTCAAGTTTGTTCAAATAATAACCTCTGGTAAAAGGCTGGGACATATCAATGGGTGATCAAATTTTACAT